GCATGACCCGGCCAAAGATAAAATGACTCACTCTCGGACCACGGTTTCCCTTACTCTTGAATCTCTGGAGTATAATATACCCTAAACCAACCTTATAGATAAATTGGTAGAGATAGTTAGGTTCTAGTCCTTTAACAAACTATAAGACAAGGCTATACTCTTGTGTACCAGAAGATAGTCGAAAATACCATATGGATTTTAACTACTCTTCTCTCTAGGCAAATTCCCTCTAATTGATCATGCTATGTACGATGTTCACTTTATCAAATCATTAATTTCTTCATCAATACACAATTATTACATCACATAACATCACCTTTCTCACCGCAAAACTAGCACCATAGTTTTAAAAATCACTTTGACATCAACTGTATATTTCAAGTTCAAATAAAATATTGCATGTTCAAAATTCAATCAATCATCAAGGCTCATGACATGCTTCACATTTGTAGTCAAATCATACATATCAACATGCATGTTTTCACAATAAACATTAAATTAACAAACAACTATTCAAAATAAACTTCCTTCGGTTACCTCAAACCTTTGAGAGTTTAAAAGTTTACTTCTCAATAATTAGCTTTGAAGCTTGATTCTCAAGCCAAATATGGTGCCCGAATGCTTAATCTACAATTAATTAAATCTAAACTTATTAATATTGTCAAAACACATTTTCAACTCTCATTTCCACTTCTAAAGTATCTAATGCCTATAATTCTCACATTTAGGCCTACCTACTAGGTGCATTAACTTTCTTTAGCATTAAATAGCTTCATCAGGCTTCTACCTTGCCATTAATGCCTCAACCATTCCCATAACTCACATTTAATGCCCTATTCAGACATTAATAAAGCTTGCTAATGAAGAACTTGTAAAATCATCAATGTAAGGTTTAAATAACCTAATCCACTCACATTAACTCTATTTAAGTTAATGAGTTCAAATTTATAACTTATATGGATTGAAAATCATCTTTCACTATTAAACTCTAACAAAAAACCTCATAAAAGAGGAAGAGAGAGAGAGAGAAAAGGAGCTTATGACACTTATCTTAGGTGTTTCTAGCTTTAAAATGTTCCCAAACCTCCAAGGAAAAAAGTCCTAGTAGAGCAAGTGCTGTTCTCTTTGTTTCCACAGTAAGGACATGTTGCACACCGCAACATATGGCATAGAGACACTTCCTTTGTGTTTTCTCATTTTTTTAATGCCTAAGTGACCCAACTTCACTTCAGACTCATAATTAAGGCTGAAAATATAACTAAATGTAATTATTAGATCTCTTTGGCCATACACCATACCAAATCTCTTGATTGTCATAATTAAACTTGATTCATTCCTTAGTAACCTAAGGATCACAATTTAGGATGTTACATATGACTTGGAGAGTAGACGAAGGCTCAAGTGGTTGGATCAAACTAGAATAAATACGTGTGCATTACTTCTTTCCTTCAGTCTTAATATCTTTTATGATATCGTTCCTTAACTTATCTTTTTTCTTTTCACACAAAATTTGTTAAAATTTTATTTAGCACAATTCATTCCCTTTCTTGGGCACATTTATAGAGAAAAGCCCATTCAAGTTTGGCTTGACCTATATTTCTTTGGGCTTATTCGAGTAGCCAAATAAGCTAAAAATAAAGAAAATTTCATAAACTACCAACCCTGATCCTGAGATTTTTCAGGTTTATTTAGGCTAACTCATCAAGCTTGACCAAGTTATCGGCTCTAACCTTTACTAGTTTATTAAAATAACTTGGAAAATTGGAGAACGTTAACCTATTTTATAAAATTAATGGTTATCCATACACAATTATTATTGACTTTCGGATACCAAAAGTTTCTAAAAAAAAGTTTATGGATATTTTTACACCTTATGCTTGCTTCCTTTTTTAAACAAAATAGGGACTATTGCACTTGTTATAATAAGATCATTGGTATTTTGCACCTTTCTTCACTCAAGCATAATGAGTGCTCTTGGAAAAAGTTGATGGGTATTTTTGCCCTTTGACCATTAAAAGTTCATATGACAAAAGTTAGTTTAGAAAAAGTTAGCTATTAATTGTAATGAAATTTATTTTGTTTAGAAACATTTTTTTCAAAAGTCAATTTAGGAAATTTAAAGTTATTTGGATTATATATGTTTATTAAAAAGTTATTTTGAATGTAATATTACTAAAAGGGTAAAGATGTAAGTTTAGTTATAAATTATTTTTCGAGGAGCAACTAGTAGCTTATGCTATAAGGTGGTATAAAACAAATTATGAATTATTCAAATTAGAGCACCTAGCATCCTCCATCAAATCTAAAGTAATGGCTGTTTATTTATGATTGTGGGCCCATGCAATATGACTAGTGGCACCTTCGTTAAATTATCTCTCTTCTACCTTCATAAAACACCCTTCTCTCTCCTCCCCCTCTCTATACTCTAATCTTTCTGTCCCAGTGACCCATCCATCTTCAATGCTAACTCTAGTCTGCAACTTACATCCAAAAATAACAAACACAAGAAAAGCAAAGACATAACACAAGCAAGTGAGTAGGAGGTAGCACATACAAAGGATTAGAGTTTGTTAGACCAATCGCTTTCATAGAACAAGCCATTGATGATTTAATCAATTTTGGAGTCGATGAAGGAGTTGTTGTCGATGGAAAAGATTTGACCAACTTTTGTTTAAGCGCCAGAGAACCATGCAAACTTGTGTGTGAACATGGCAAGGTGTGGCTACCTATTACATGCACACCTACCACATCTTCACAGCTTGAGATTTCCTTACCTATGAGATTTTATATTGTGTTGAGACTCTTATAGATTTAGTAATTATGCAGAGGAATATTTCCTTGCATATGAGATCCCTTTATTTTCATTAAATAATTCCAAGTTCTCGCCTTGAAAACCTAAGATTCTCTCGCTGAGTATTCTTAACTAACCTTGGATAGGGAAGTCAAAGAGAATGCTATTAAAGAGAAAGGATTTTTCTTAAGTCCTTCGCTGGCATCGACTTTGGGGGACGTTAAATTGCGCTTGCTACCTCTATTTTTGAAGTCATCTTTGAGAGATTTAAGTTCTTTCTCCTCTTGAGTAATCTTTGTTTTTTGAGCGACTTTTTGGATTTTGTTCAATGACATTGATGAGCAAGAGCGAGAGAGATGAAAGGGAAAGTTAGATTTGTGTAATTGATTATATAAAGAGAATGGTTGATTAATCTTGCTTCAATTGTATGTAAAACCATTCTTTGATCCTTTTCCCATGAATATTGATTTAATTTACAGAATTTTGAAATCTTCATTAAATTATCCACCGTTCGAATTCTCTCAATTATAAGCTTTCCATAGTGGTTATAGACTCTCAAATATGCACAATGTATTTTGGTTTTGCAAAGACAGTTCTAGGTTGAAAAAGATGAAGTTGAAGAGCTCGAAGGTTGTTAATGGAAAAACAAAGAAGAAAATGTGGGTCCCATAAATTTGAGTTAGCAAACGTTAGGCATAAATTAACGAAAGGTTGCACATTCTCCATTTTTGTTAGTTGATAATTTATTTTGTACCATCTCATAGTATAAGCTACTAGATGTTTTCCAAAAAATAATTTGAAGCTAAATTTGCACTTTTACCTTAAAATAAAAAAAGGGTAAAAGGGTAAAAATACTAACAGAGTGGTTAGCCAGGGGCACCTAATAGCCTAAAGTAAGGAAAATGACATAAATATCCACAACATTACATGAATAGGTGCAGAAGTGATCAAACCGTTAACTTTGTCCTAATGCCGTTAGTTTCCATCATTAAATGCTGATTGTGCTTGCTGCATGTCAGCCTTTGCTAATGTGGATTAAAAAAGGGGCAAAAACACTCATGAAGTCATTATTCAGGAGTATTCAATAGTCTAAAGTGAAAAAAAGGGGCAAAAATACCTATAACATTGCCAAAATTGATGCAAAAGTGACCAATCCATTAAGTCTCTTAAATATTTTGGCCGTTTAGTTGATATTTAAGCAGAAGTTAACCAATTTTTTGCTAATATGGATAAAAAAAGTTCTTAGGTGAAATTCTATGGAGGTTGATTAATTATCATATGAATATCATTTGGAAAAATGTCATTTTGATCAAACATCAAGTTAAATCATTCGTTTATTTGCAGTAATAATGATGAGTAATGAAAAACATTGGAGAATTTTGAACCTATCATGAATGAAATTGCTTAAGGTTGGGACAATATTCTTAAGGTAAGTGGTGTAGGAAGTGTGCTTAGTCTTGATTTTCAATTGTGTACAACCTACCTCATTGTATTGAATCTCAGGTTTTGCAGACAAGAAAAATGAGTGGGGAGGGAGGGAAGAAGTGGTGTGAAACGTTAATGAAAAAAATTAGTTTTGGTGGGATACATCATTGATAAGCTTCTGTGGAAATTAATTTGGGAATATTTTGTGTGTATATCAGCAAAAAAATGGTAAAATTTTATTTAAATGTTAGCTAAATGGTCAACATTTAAGAGATTTGATAAATTAGTCACTTTTACATCAATTTTGATAATGTTATGAGTATTTTTAACTTTTTTTCTACTTTACATTACTGGATGCTCCTAAATGACGATTTCACGGGTATTTTTATCCTTTTTTAGTTCACGTCAGCAAAGATTAACATGTGGCAAGCACGATCAGCATTTAACAGTAGAAACTAACGGTGTTAAGGTAAAGTTAACTATTTGATCATTTTTGCACTCATTCATGTTACATTATAAGTATTTATGTTATTTTTTTTACTTTAAACTATTGAATATTTTTGATTGATTATTTTATGAATATTTTTATTTCTTTACCTTAAAAAAATAAAATTGAAATAAAAAATAGTAATAAATTGTGATGTGAGATTAAATCAAAATGACATGAAAAGCACCGGCATTCGTCCGGCGAAAGTGTGGAAAAGGTAATTAAGAGTTTCTGCAAATGAAGCCAAACTAGAAACAGCGAAAAGTATCAAACAGTATATTTCCATTTATGGTCGTGTTTGAGCACTGGCTAATGGCTAAATGATCCCTTTCGCTTGTTCCTTATTCGAATCCCATAACGGAAGCGATTGTTTTCATCATAAATAATTGACAAACTCAACTGATTAAATTCCGTTGCTTCTTTAAAAGAAATCATACAAATCGAAGTTGAAATCTGAAACCTTAGGAGACACATTCATCTTCACTTTCGTCAACTGGAGAAACCGAGAGAACCAGATCTGGGAGTCTTCTCGGTGCACCCCCTTCTCTCCCAGTTTTAGAGAGGGAAAGGGGGAAACGAGATTATATTATTCAATCGCCATTGATAACTCTCTGAAATGGCTCCAATCTTCGAGTATTTTGTGGTGTGCGGGATCGGCCCTGAGATTCGAACTCTTGAGGGAAGCAAAGGGTTCCATGGTACTGGATACATGTATCTTCCTTCTCTTCTCGATCAGTACCCTCCGCCTAATCACTCACCCCACCCTCCTCCACCTCCTCAGCTTCCCACAGTAAGCTCCTCAACAACAGGAAGCTCTTGTACTGCTTCCTCGTCTGTTCTACTTTTTTCTTTTTCCAGTTGAAACGTATCTTTTTTGGGAAATGTGTATGGACATTACATTAACGAATTTTAAGAATTCATTTCGGACTTCTCTTCCAGTTCCAAGTCGATCTGATTCTTGTAATGCTTGCTTGCAGTGTGTTCTGCCGGCTGGTGTAGAGTTTTATTCTTCGGGGTTTGATTCCAATGACCCCTCCACGTTTCCGAGGAGCTATCCCATTGTTTTGACCGGTGGGTTTATTTACAAGCACTATCTCTTCATTTTTCGAAATTAAGCCATTGTTTTCTCGTCGGTATGTTAGAAGAACTCCCAGTTTTGATGGTTAGCCTTCTTATATCGTATATCGTGAACCTCACAATTCTAGTAATAGTGTATCGTTATCACTACTAAGTGATTGGAAATTTCACACCGTTCTTAAACTAAGGACTGCAGATTTAGTTGACAGGCTCTTTAGCAGTAGTAAAACTAATTTCATTTCTGCATGGGAGATGTTGAATTGCTTGCATACAACAGCAAACAGGTCGAGAGTTTCTTGTTTCGTGATGATTGTTGCGTCATGCCTCCAAAAGTATGAGTTCTGTTTGAGTAATTAAACTTTACATGGAAGATGCCCGTGGGTAAACTACTCAGGCTAGAAGTATATAAAGAAGCATCCTGATAAAAATATGAGAATAAGATATTTGAAGAAACTTAGGCTAGTAGATTATTATTATTGTATTTTCTTTAGCTTGTAAGAAACCTACCCAAAGGGAAATCTGAACATTAGCCTTATATGGACAAGTGATTAAGATTTCCATAATAGGTAAGAAAGTTAATTTAAATAGACTAGGCTTGCATTTGTAAGAGGACACTTGATGAATGAAATATTGTGACTATTCAGATAGCTTCTCTCTCTCTCTCTCTCTCTCTCTCTGGGTTTCTGCCGCTCCCTCTCTTGCTCCCCCTATTCTGTTCTTCATCTTCTTCATTTCTCCCTCTTTATTTCTGGTTCAGGAAAATGAAGTTTTGATTTCATAAATCATTTATTATAATGCAAATAAGATTTTTCCCAAAGGATGTGTGAGGGGCAATATTGAAGCTGTGTAATCAACGAATTGGCCTTTAACAAGTCAAGTAATCCCAATTCTTGAGCATTCCTCCTATTCTTGTTTAGTTCCCTTGCAGTTCCAACGACAATTCAAGTTCAAGGAGATCTGGTCAGCCGTTTTGTTGCCCATTCGCAAAGGATGCTGCAACTTCCATTAACCTACTTGCATTTCCTCTATAGTTGCTGTCGTCAACATGTTTATGATCTGCTGTCGAAACATGAGATGACGTCTTCAATAAGAGCTATGGAATGCGGAGCTATTTTCTATGAATATGCCTATTTCTCTGGACTTACAAAATGCTAGTGTAGCCATTAATGATAGCTATCGATATTTTTCTGTAAATATTAATTAACCTCCTTTGTCAAGTAAAACAAATAGAAATAGCATTTTTTATTTAATTTTTCTTATCTAGGGTTGATTTGGCAAAATGAAAATTTCAATGGCTACCCTCTCCAACATCATGAACACCTTATCGAAGCAGATGCTGCATATCCTCAACTTCAAAGAATAGAATATACATCCCACGTATCAATTTTGGAAGGATAGCTTATTATCTTTTGTTTTTTTTTAATATATTGAATCTTGTCCTGTTTTTTCACCTTCTTCAATTCTTTTTTAATTTTATTTATGTTATAAAAATGTAAAATCATAGTGTATTGTAATGCTTCTATTGGATTACTAGCTAGTTTGAGATGTATCATGATTTTTAACTTTTGCCATAACATTCCTCTTTCCAAATATGGTTTTAAGATTGCTAACACTTGTTTTAAGAAGAAGGATGGACATCTCATTATTTATAAAAGTGGAGCTTTAAGGTCACAGATTGATTTCCTTTTGATATGGAATACAAATAGGGGAGTCTGTAAAAAATTGTAAGGTGATTCCTAGAAATGTCGTAACAACACAACATTGGGTCCTTGTCCTTGATTCATATATTTCAAGTAAAAATCAAAAGCGTTGATAAGTGGTAATTTCAAGGATTAGGTGGTGGAAGTTAAAAGGTGAGAAGCGAGAAATTTTTTAGCGGAATCTTTTGACCGAAGGAATTTGGGAGTCCTAGGAAAATGTTAACATTTTATGGGAAGATATGGCTAAGAAGGTAAGGAAGGTTGCCAAAAAAGTTTTGGAAGAATCAAAAGGCTTTGGTCCGAGAGATAAGGAGTTTTGGTGGTGAAATGATAGTGTATAGGATAAAGTCAAACATAAGAAGGAGTGTGATGGAGACTTAATAGTATGGGATATCAAGCCCCACATTGAGTAGTATGGGATGTTCAATAGGGTATATAAGTGGGTTGGTTTCCCTATCTCAACAGTTAGTTTTTGAGGTGGGTTCTTCATCTCACTTAGGCACCCATCAATTGGTATCAGAACCTCGTTGTCAGTGGTTTCAGAGAGGGCTACTCATGGAGGGTTTTGACTGGAAGGAGGTTGAGTTAAGTGTTATGGAGTACACCTATTAGGATGTCGGCTTTTCATGAGGGCCCAATTAGTAGAGACTTAGTAGCATGGGTTATTAAGTCTCATGTTAAGTAGTATGGGATGCTCAATGGGCTATATAAGTGAGTCAGTTCTTCCACCTCTATAGTTGGCTTTTGGGGTAGGGTTTTCCATGCTACTTAAATACCCATCAGAGTGTTTTAAAGCCATCTATTTGTGCAATGATGATGAAAATCGGGAAGGGCATCGAATGGCTAAGAAGGAAATTAAGAAAACTATGAGTGAAACACGTTCTAAAGCATTTAAAGAGTTCTACAATAATCTTGGGACAAAGGATAGAGAATGAAAAATTTATAAGATTGATAAGAATAGGAAAAGAAAATCAAGATATGTCGAACATGTCAGGCGCATAAAGGATAAAGAGGGAAGAGTTTTGGTCGTAGATGGTGATATTAACGACAGATAGGAGACCCACTTCTCCAAACTTTTTAATGATGGAGCATGTTCGTCTAGTAATTTGGAGGATTTAATCACTTGTGAAGGAGGACAAAATTTGTCATTTTATTAAAGGATACGCTATAGTGAGGTAAAGGAAGCTTTTAAGAAAATGGCAAATGGTAGAGTCAATGGACCTAATTGTTTCCCCATTGAAGTGTAGAAATTTTAGGTGAAGATGGGGTGTGGTGGTTGACTAAATTATTTAATGAGATCTTACAGTTCAAAAAAATGTCTAATTATTGGCGAAGTATCTTAGTTCCTATTTATAAAAATAAAGGGGACATTTTGAATTATGCTAACTACAGAAGGATTAAACTTATGAGTTATACAATGAAATTATTGAAAAGATTAATTGAGCATAGGTTGAGATTGGAGATTGGTATATTTGAGAATCAATCTGACTTCATGCCAGGTAGGATGACTATAGAAATGATTTATCTATTAAGGGAATTAATGAAAAAGTTTCGATACAAATATAAAGATTTACACATGGTTTTTATTGATTTAGAAAAACTTATGATCGTGTACCGAGAGAAGTATTTTGAAAAGCCTTGGAGAAGAAAAAAGTTTGGGTTGCCTATATTAGGATTATGCAAGATATATATGATAGGGTAACAACTATTATAAGAACTTTTGGCGGTGAAACAAATGACTTTCTTATAAGAATTGGACTACATCAGGGATTATATTTGAGTTCTTATTTGTTTGACTTAATCCTAGATGTTTTGACTGAGCATATTCAAGAGGAAATCTCTAAATGCATACTTTTTGTGGATTTAGTTCTTATTATGGAAATAAAAGAAAAGATTAATTATAAACTTGAGTTATGAAGGAGGATATTGAAGTCAAAAAGTTTCTTCCTAAGTAGAAGTAAGACAAAATATTTGTATTTTAATATTGATAAGATGTCAATCAATAATAATTTAGAAGTAAAATTGAAAAATTAAATTATATTTCAAGTGAAAAAATTTGGATATTTAGGAACTATTATTCAATATGATTGGGAAATTGATGGTGATATTTTATGTAGAATATAAGGAGATGGTTGAATTGGAGAATGATTAAAGGACTTATTTTTGTGATCATAAGATACCTAATAAACTTGAAGGGAAGTTTAATTGAACTGTTATAAGACTTGTTATATTATATGGTAGTGAATATTGAGCTTTAACGGGATATTAAATGTATAAATTTAGAGTTTCAAATATGAGAATGTTGAGATGGATGTGCAAGCATATACGTAAAGATAAAATCCGAATGAGCACGTGCGATAAAAAGTGGGCATGGCACTTATTATTTTGGAGTGAAATTTGGAAGTGAAATTGAGAAATTAGATTATACCTCAAGTGAAAAAATTTAGATATTTAGGAGCTATTATTTAATATGATGTGGAAATTGATGAGGATATTATACATTCGATACAAGTTGGATAGTTTAATTGGAGAAAGATTAAAGAAGTTATTTGTGATCATAAGGTACTTAATAAGCTTAAGGGGAAGCTTTATCGAATTGCTATAAAATCAGTTATGTTATATAGCAGTGAATGTTAGGTTTTAATGGGACAATAAAAGCATAAAGTTAAAGTAGCAGAGATGAGAATATGGAGATGGATGTGCGGGCATGCATGTAAAGATAAAATTTGAATGAGCATGTACTAGAAAAAGTAGGCATATCACCTATAGAGAGGAAAAATGGTAGAAAATTATTTGAGATGATTTGAACATATACAAAGAAGATCATAGGTTGTGCTAGTGAGGAAAGTGGAATGGATAATTTTGAATCTTGTTAAAAGGGGTAGAGGAAGGCCAAAGAGGACACTTATGGAAGTTGTTGACTAAGTCGTAATTAACAACTTTCCTAAAAGCTTGTTAAATGATAGAGTATGGTGGCATCGCACAATTCATGTTACTAACCCCACCTAGTAGGATAAGGCTTGTCATCGTCGTCGTTGTATTCCTCTTTCTAAGTAGAACTGCTTCATTGCATCTACCTTAGAATGTATTCAAGAACTCTATACCCTTGTTTGACAAATTTTCAAAATATTAAGTAGTACGATATTTTGCACATTCTACTTTGTATGCTGTCAGTAAACCAAGTTACTCTGTTTCTTTAGTTTTACATTGTTATCTTAAAGTGGATCTTGTATTCATTTCATATCAACAAATTACGTCTACATCTTAAAATTGATCAAGTATGCATATTACATTTATAATTTCATTTACATTGTTTTTTCCATGATGACCTCTCCAGTTTTCCACTGACTTTTGAGTTAGATTTCACTGTAATGTTGCTAGTTTTGTTTGCTTGCATAATTGTTACCTTGGAATGTGGGTGTTATTGTAAGATATCATATTAATTTATAAAATTTGATGCAGAGGGTGATGGTTCAAAAATATATGTTAGTTGCATCTCCTTTCGGGATCCAATCTGTGAGGATATAGCAGATGCTTACCGGATACCAGCAAATTCTTTTGCTGATAAATGCATTTGTTTAGTTTCACGCTCACCGAGTTTCCGTGTACTTAGGAGTACACTGGAGGAATTATTTGCACTGTGCTTTTCTCCAAATGGAAGTAGGTAAGTATTCTCTAGTGGCAATAACCTGCTAGCTTCTCATGCAAAAAGAAGTGCTAGTTTCACCAAAAAAGAATCCAGCTGTGATCATAATTCATTATAATTTTTGTTGTATTCTTTATTGAAGTATTCAATCATTGTTTTCTTTTTTTGAAAATCAACATATAATTATCATAGTCTTGCTTTCTTATGGGCTAAAAATTCTTCCCTAGATAAAACTTGCATATGTATTGTATTTGTATCCATAGCATCTAATGTTCCATGCTCTACCACGATATCAGCAAGCCATTATGGGATGTTATAGCAAGTGTGGTGTCAAATGTACCTTTGCCAACTCCTGGTAAGGAGCGAGTCCTGTTTGCTATTGAGAATTGTCTGCTTTCTGTGGAGGCTCCACCAAATGATGGGCTCCCCCATGCTGACGTATGGCCTGTACTTTTCTTTAAAAAATTATTAATTGCTTCCTTCTTTCTATTATTTGACAATTCTCCATTTTTTGGTAGCAGATATCATTTCAGCCTCTGCTGCAGTGCTTGGATGTCGACAACTTAATGAAACTTTTTACTGCAGTATTGCTTGAGAGGAGGATTTTGCTTCGAGCAAACAAGTACCTTTCTTAAGACCATTGAAATGCTTTCTTGTTAATTAGTTTTATCAAACAGGATATGTTTTTGTTTACATCTGCAAGATGGATATTACATTTGGGTCAATAACTCAATGTTGACTTCTTCAATTACAGTGTTCTGTTTCCCACACTATCATCTCTGTTACTTCGTTTTTTCCCCCAAAAAAGAAGTCTATAGTTCTATGGAGTTTCAAGCACATTTGAACTAAATGTTTGAAGCTAATCAAATTTAATGTTATTTATTCTGTATATTTCATTAATGCTTGCCTTGTGTGTGAATATGATGTGCTAATGACACTGTATTATTAGTTTTAAAAAATGAAAGTAGAAACCTTGTGAAAGAAAGAGAATACTTCTGTTCTCTGAATCAATCGCAGTATCGTTAGTGATAATGTGGAATCCATCTTGATTTGTATCCCATGGTTGTTGATTCTGTGATATTTTGATTAAGTTCAGTGATTTGGTTGCTCATCTGCGCCAGCAGTCTCGGAAAGTGTTTAAATTGTGCCTTACTACTTTCACTAATTTCTTGATTAGCTGTTGTGATATGACCAACATGGTTGGCCAATGCCAAAATCATTTCTATTCATAATTAGTATTCACTGTTTTATTTTGTTAATTTTTTCCCACATTATTAATCTCATCTTAGTTGTTTGTGAGCTTCTCATCCAAACTTTGTGTTTCATTTATTCTGTAAATTCTATGACATTGATCTATACAATCTGTTGGCAGGTATTCACTACTGACTCTTGTGTCAGAGGCCATATGTCACTTAATTTATCCATTCCGATGGCAGGTGAGGTTTCTTTATCATAATTAACTTTTAATAAGTTTCTCCCATTTTTGTGCTACTGGCATTTATTGGCCAGCATTACTTCATATGTTACCTCTAAATTGTCGTGAAGAATTTGTTTGTGTATGATATTTGATGGGAAATTGCAATGTTGATTTCTTTTGTTGACCTTCATCTAATTCTGTTTCTTTGTTTTGCTCTAGCATGTATACATTCCATTGCTATTTTTCAGTGGAGTAGACTACATTGATGCTCCCACTCCATATATGATGGGCCTCCACTCAGGTGTGGATACCTCTGCGCTGACAATGGATGGTGTAAGTCATTCCTTTAATTTCTTATCCTCCTCCTTTTCAAGACCCATTTTCTTGCTGTTCGATACACTTCCTAGCTATGCTTTTCTTAATAGATGCTATCACTAGTTGACTGTAATTCTTAATGCATTGTAAAAGCGAATACACCCTAATCCTCAAATGAATCACGCCTTTTGCGTGTTTTGATCCACATACTTGTACTAATAGGTATACAACCAGCCTCCTAATTAGAACTGACAGCCTAAAAGATTGCTTACTGGCTGACTAAACCACATGAGCTGCCTAAAAGCAATAGTTTGGGAATTCTTCTACGTAGTATAGTCAATCTATACTAGGTTTTATGTAGCTAGTTTGTGGTCTTCTGTTTGGTGCTCCTTTGAGTCCATTGGTTGTGTTATGGAGTATTAGTATAGAGGAAAGTCTTGTTGGTTAAGAAAGGAGTTTCCTCTTGTGCTACCAAAGTAAAGCTATATGTATCATTAGTAATCATGGTCCTGGCATGAGCTTAGGTATAGGGCTCTATACTATACAGAATGTACTTACCATTGTAAGAGCTTTTGCAGTGAACAGATCATGTTCTCTCTTTTTTCTCTCCCAAATTTTCCTCTCATCTTAATTTCTCTAAACAAATTTTGAAGTGGCCATTGCCATATTGGAAGTTTTAGTTTATCATAATCTTCTTTTTCAAACTTAATGCCCTTCCCTTAGCCACTATATTCTAGAACGGTCATTTCACCCGTTGATGATACTGGGAATTTGCTATACTCCGTGTGTGTGAAAAAGTCAATAAACCATGCTAGCCATGTATTCCTTCTACTCTTTGCACTTAATGATCAAACGATTACATTTTATAATCACAGTGGTTCAATTCACCTACTTCTCTCTCTCTCTCTCTGTGTTTTTTTCTTTTTCGGGGGAAATGAAAAGGTTATGGAAATACCATACAGAAACAAAGAGAGTTAGACCCTCTGTTTATCCAAATCCACTGGCCTACAGTCTAAAGGGGGTTAATTGGATACAAAATATTTCTTGATCTTATTTCAAATGGTAAGATAAGGGAGTGTCATTAATTTTGAGCTACTGCATTTGTGCCTTTAGTTGCTCAGTATTTCAGTTAGTGCTTAAGTTTGAATCATTTTGTCTAAGTTGACAAAATAATAGTTATTCAGAAGAGCACTGAGGCTTCATAAAAACAAAATCAAGCAAAGAAGTAGTTGCATTTGTCTGTCCTGCGTTTATCATTTAGTTTCCACCATTTTTACATGGTTGATGAACTGTGTGTTTTATATTCTAAGTGACTGGTCTTGAATTTGGTGCTGGCTGGCAGCATTGCCAGTTCAATATTTTATTTTGTTGTCTGATGTTGGCATACATGTGAAGAAAATCTGTTGAATTCAGATTATATTTTGACCTCCTGTAGGTGGTAGTCGTGGACCTTGAGTATAATCGTATCACTACAACAGAGGAAATTCCGCCTATTCCTGAGCCAGAGTTTACATTTTTACGTGGTGAAATTTCAAAGTTGTTATATCCCAATGTAGTTGGAATTGATGAAGTGAAGGCTGGAATATGTGGTGCATCTGAGCATTTCCCTAGGTCTGGAAGCAAGCAATGGGGAGAGGATCATGACCTTCAGATAAGGTGATGCTTGAATACCAGCTGCTTGACTTGCATAATGTTCTTGCCGCTTTCTTGGTGTAACTTGTGAGTTCTTTAAAAACAACTGTCTTCAGATGCATCATATAAAATTCAAGGAGATGCAGAAGAGGAATATACTGTTCCAGAGATTAATTTGGCCCTTTTTTGTCTAAGAACCTTGATATGATTTATCGTTTTTATTTGGGCAATTTTCTTTGTAATTCTATTGCAACAGCCAACAGGCAATAATGCTGCATATCTGATTCTGCTCCTATTATCCAGCTTGTGGAGTTGGCACTTGGCAGTGCTTTTGTTTTCTGTAGATGAGATGTTGCCTTATTATTTACAGAAATAAGTGTACGAATTTTCTTTTGAGCGGTATAAAAATTATTGTTGGAGTGTTACTTTTAGAGCCCTGGGTTGATTGTACCTTTACTAGCCTGATTGGGTAGTCCTAACCTTACAACCAAGAGCATCATCTGAATCTAAGTTTCGCAAATGACAAATTCTTAGTTGAGTCCCAAATCAAATAGAATCTTGTACTAGATCCCTGAATAAGTAGAAATTGCTTATACCAATAATTCCTAAATTTGAAATGGAAGTCTTGCTCAGCTGAACTGGAGACCTAAGTGCTATTCGGAATGATTAGAGTTTTGTTCATTGCAAATCCCATTTGTATTATTTGTGTGTTTGTGTTCCTTACTCTTGAGCCTTTTTTCCTCTCAGTTTAACTTTTTTCTTCAAAATGCCTCAACTCTGATGCAAATTTCGTTCCTTAACTGTTTCCAGTGTTTGAGGACTGCTGTATAGACTTGAGTATTTGCATCTTGTGGGCTTAATGTCAATATCCTCTTTTTTAGATAAAAATGATGGGTAATATGAGACTAAAACAAAGAAATAAGATATCTGAAGTAGAGTTTAAAGCTTTACTAACAAGTATTCCCCTGGTCTTTCTAAAAGTGACAAAGCTTTTACAATATTAGTTGTTTATTTGATGATTGGCTTGTGCTTTCTATAAGACTTTCTGTTGCTAATCCTCAGAGTAGGCTCATTCTCAAAGCAGCATGTTTTTCGCTTGGTTTGAATTTTTTTTTTTGTTTGGATGAACATAACAAATATGAGGGGGATCTGTAACTTTGTCACTGAGCATCATACTCATTTGCATCAAACCAGACAATGGTTTGGTTCAATTATATAATATAAATGTATATAGTTATATAATGTATAATGTGATGTGTGTAATCACTAGTGTGTCTTCCGTGCAGGTTGATATTCCTGAAGTTCTTTGCAACACTTATAAGTGGTTACCGCAATTTCATAGTATGAATTTTCATTCCTTATTCCATAAACTTGGCATTTAACCTTTCATATATCAACTTGTCATGGCCTCTGAATATTTTTTCTTGGTATCAGGAAAACAGTGCAACTAATATTTTTAACACTCAAGCTTTTTTGAAAAAGCGCTCTCGATCTACTAATCATCCCCCAGAGCCCATGGTAATTTATATACTCATATGCATTATATTCACCAATTAAAAGGGATGCTGAATGACAATGGAATATACTAATTATTTCCTCCCTCGGTTTTCACAGATAGCTCAGTTCTTAGATTCTCATGGTTTCTTGGATTATTTGGAGAGAGGTGTAGGGTCTGATGAAAGCAACAACAACCTGCTTGATAAGCTACAAGATGCAATTGGAAGGGGCCAAAATCCTATGTCAATTCTTCCATCATCTTATGTAGAGCCTGAGATTATTACTATATCGGATTCTGATGTTGGATTATCAGGTGAATGAAAGTTCTCTATCCAAATTTTCCTGCAACTGCAATGTGTTCTGATATGACTTAATATGTATTCATCATTCTTCCTTGGGTCTTCAGGATCTGGTGCTAAGTATACTTATGATAGGTTTCCATCAAACATCAGAACAGATGAGCAAGAAGAAAAGAGGAAGCAGATTCTTGCAGCAGCAAGTAATGCCTTTGAGTACTCTGGAAGGCAAACTCCAAGGTAATGCAAGTAATGCCTGAAACGTTTAACATGCTCTGTTTGTAGGTATCAACCAGGAAAATTGTCATGATTGTGTCTGAGTCAGTCACTCAAACAATTCTTCTTGTTTTTTTTTTCTCTGGGGCGACATTCCTTTTGGGCAAGATGTTTGCATACAAATGATTACTATCTAGTTTCCTTCTCAGTCTACAATGTTGATAGAGAAAGTCAGGACATATGAAGACTAAATTTCATTGAATAATAAAAGCTCCTCAACTGTATATTAATTATTCGGATCGTAAAGGTTATTTATTGCTTTAGTACAAGTGTGAAAAAGGTAAAAGGTTAAGGAGTCATACCTAAAACCTGTTGAAGAAATTCAGAAATTTGATTCTCTGATTCTTACTATTCCAAGTGATCGAGCTGTACATAAATAGATGGGTTGGTAGCTGAAAGATTAGCATATTCAGACAGCCTACCTAGCTTACAGAACTTCAGAGTATAACTATTCTATCATAAAAGAATGGTAAGATGATAAAGCTTGAACATGACAATGTCTTTTAGAACAAAATAAATAAAAAGCTAACACTGAAAACTATTGAAAGACAGTTGTTATAAAGCACATCTGCTTCACTATGTGTTCTCTATCACTTCCTTTTGAGGTGAGAAGCAAATATTAATCATGCCCCACTCATAGCTAATGCTTGTAGCATTAGCAATCTTCTTCCCCAGGACCAAGTCCTCTTTGAGCAATAGTGCCAGACCCCATAATATATATTTCTTAATTGATCTGGTCCTTATTTCCTTCCAAGTAATTTTTGTAACAGTTCCCATTTCTTTGCTATAAAATTTGGTTTGGCTTTTTTCCTCATTGGTCATTAACCAAGTTACTGGTTTCATCTCTTGTCATGGTCTCCTCTACGCTTCCTGTGTATTTTCCACCAATGCTTTCCATCCTATTTCTGCTTGTTGCCACTTCCTTGAGTATTATGTTCCATCAGGGCTGATGTTTCAGTTACTGATCGGAAACTTGAAGACCCATGAATGAGTCTCTTCCTGCTCTTCTCCTTTTACTTCTAAAAAATGTTTCTGTTAGGAAAGTAGAAGATTAATTGCTATGATTCTTCTTCAAACATCTTCAAATACTGGATTTAAGTCAAGTAGAAGTTTACAGACCCTCTTTTGCTCCAGAAGCTTTCTATAATATGCTCCATCTAGGCTGCAGCTCCATTTGTGTTTCTCAAACGTATCTAGTTGTTGCCAACTGTTTGTTGTACAAAGCATCACAAAGTTGTCTGTGAATTTACTATTGTGTGACTTGGAAGATAACGAGTCTTCAAATTTTTTCAGCAAATAGTTTTCTGATCTTTTGAGAGTAATACATTCTGCTTTATTTTTTCAAACAGAGCTACTGAATTAACTGGTTGCCTTATCTACTTACACAGTTTTCTTCTCTTCATCTTATTTCTTTTGCTCATAGTTTCTCTTCTGTATTGTGCAGTAAGGACTCTATAGCAGATGGTCTTACTCCCCTAGAGAGAGCTGTAAGTAACATTTTCTGGACTGTTATACTAGTGTTTCTATCATGTTAATGTAAGGTAGATTGAAGTGGTCCCTAACATAAACAAATTAATGGTTTCAGGCAGAAAGGGAGCGCATGGTGTTGGATATTAAGGTTAAGTTGCAGGTAACTTCTTGTTCTCTTGACTTACATTCCTCAATGCGTGTGTGTATGAGTGACAAGCAAATCTTCAACTGTATGCTTTTATCCATACTTGCTCTGCTGATTTTTGTCCTTGCAGTCACCTGACTAACATGCTCAATGGAATTTTAGAAATTTATTGCTTGTATTTGTATTTTGTATAGAACATATGTGGCAGTTTTCCCAGAACCCATTGGTAATTCTAATGTTTTTAGATTTTTCTCTAGTTCTAAGGATAGCTGGTGCTTTAGTTTACCTATTGATGGAAGTGTATTTCTTTTTCTTCCACTCATCCAGAATCTATTTATCTATTCCTTTTTCTATTTGGATGTATATGTTCACCTTTGAGGTGTCCTGGTGAATTGATAGTCTAAGCAGTCTACTGTGTTAATACACTTGGGGGTTTTTTATCTTCTCCATCAAAGCCCAGTGTTGACTCTGCTGATTCACTGAAACAGCAATACCTACAAGCTTTTAAAGAAATAGAATGAATGGGAAGCGAGATTTGCAAGAATTGTCTCCACATTCTGATGGGTTGATATTTAGCCAAGAAAGAGTAATGAGGTTTCCGTTATTGAGAAAAAAGTGTAATTAGGTTTCTCAGAGATGTGGTTTCTTGGTTTTCTTAGATCTTTTGTAGTTTCTCTCTTTCAAATCTTTATCTGAGTGTTGCATATTGAGAAGAATAAATGAAGCACGGATTTGAGACGTTGTGGCTCACTGGATTGATTTGTCTAAATAGTAGGCAGGAGACTTGCACTACATAGGTTTGGATTTGTTTTTCTCTTTTGCATTTGACCATTCTTGACACACATAAAAGGTCTAAAACATATTTTCTGATGATTTACAAGGAATAGATTTTGTGAGTATGTATACACGTATAAAGTAGTAACTCCAGGAATTGTTCTAGGAAGGAGATTGATGTATAGAAAAGTAAGAAAGAGGGAGAAAGAAGGGGAGAGAGAGGAGAGAGAGTGAAGGAAGAGGAAGAAGATAGATAGTCGAGAGAAGAAGAGAGAACAGAGAGTAGAGGAATCTGTTATTACTCATGAACCTAAAAGAATGTAAGACTTAAACCCCAATCCCCTCTATTTATAGCCTAATGCCGAATCCCTAACTAACTAATCTTAACCACCGAATACCCCTTAACTAATATTATTTATTTATTTATTACATAGCAGACATAAGTGCAAAATGGAATCTCAAATGAATATCCATTGATCCTAGGGTCAGCTTTTAGTCTATGCCATCTCCATCCATGTCGTCCTACATGGAGCCAGGATGACGGTAACTTGCACTTGAATTGATAATGTCAAAGGTCAAAACTTCTCCATCATCATCTAACTAGTTCCTCAATCTTTCATTGTTCTTGCTGAGCTTGCAATGCATGTAAAGGGACTTCAGATCCTAGAGCTCCTCTCCACCATATCTAGCAACAATGAAATTTCTGTTGAGTTAGCAATGGTGTGGCTTTCACTCGTTTTCAGTGGATGATGTAAACTGAGTCGGTTAATTGCTTTACTTTCATTTTGAGTACTTCTTGTTGACTTATTGGTGTTGAAATTGTTGTTGTAACGTCTTATCTTTTCAGATATTTTCTATTTTACAATTTTTATTTTTCTGTGAAACAGGGCTTGTGGCTACGGCTACTTAGACTGGGACCAACAGATGATCCTCTTTCATCCTTTGAATATGGAACAATACTAGGTACGGCTTTTTGCTAGATTTTAACCTTCTTGCTATTCAAGGTCAATATTTCTTGTGCCCTTCACATACACAAATATCAATTTAGCATCTCCTAGACCTTTCAAATAAGTAATTGTTCATTTGTTTTTTGCAGCCTTGATTGAATCTGATGCTGAGGGGATTGGTGGTAGTGGTTTTGTTGAGTGTATAAGGGAGCATATACATTCAGTTAGCATATACTAACACTAATCACCAATTAATTGATTATTTATTTATTTATTTTTTGAAACCATCAAACTTACACTGGACATCTTTTTCAGGGTTGGCACTGTCAGCTAACTGAAGAACAATTTGTTGCTGTAAAAGAATTGGTAAACAAATCACATGCCTCTTGTTTGTTTAGTATTCTTTATATGTGTAGTTCTTTATATATGTAGTGCAGGAAAGAAATAATTAGGAATTATCATATATTTGAACGGTATTTTTGCCTTTAGCAATCTTGATATGCATCCAACTTGCCTTGAGTTTCCTGCATCAACTTGGCTGACATTTCTCCCATCATTAACATATCCAACCCCTGCTTTACACCCCTATCTGCAAAGAAATTCACCATCATGTTATTGTAGTATTATGATACATTAACGATATTAATCATTGCATTCTTCTTTTCCTCGGCCATAATACAAAGACTGCATTTTCATGTTTGGCTTTTAAAAACTTCTGTGCAAACAATGGCCTTAAATGGCTGACCTTTTGATTCATTTTTGAAGTCAATAGAAGAACTTCATCTACAAATGGAGCTGGATTTCTGAGTATCACAAACTCACAATGACACTTAAATGCAGATTTGGTCCTTTGGCAATTAAAATAACGACTAAAGAAAGATTTTACAGTTCTGAAGATATTATAACTGTGATAGAGTACTGATTATAGTGAGATAATGGATAATTTGAGAAGTTAGAGATATATTAGGAGTAAATATTATTTTATATTATTTTAGATATTTTCTATTTTATAATATTATTTAGATACTTAGTTATTTAGATTTTATTCAGATATTTAATTATTTTAGATTGTATTTTCCATTATAAATATGCTTTAGCAACTTAGAAGAAGGATCCCATCATTTGAATATCTTGGATATTTTCTATTCAATTATTTTCTTCCTTATTTCTTTCTACCTATCTTGGATCCTATCATTTGAATATCTAGATAAAATTTAAATAACTAAATATCTAAAGAAAATCTAAATAACTAGATTTCTAAATGAATATCTAAATAATAATATTAAATAGAAAATATATAAAATAATATTTATTCTTAATATATATCTAACTTCTCAAATTATCCATTATCTCACCATAATTGGTACTCTATCAAACTGTAATTGTGCCAGTTGATTAATCATTACTAGATGGCAAGAAATGCTAATTAAAAAACTTATGAGATGACATGGTAGCTTCTAATTTCGCAAATAATCTTTATGTGGAAGCTTTTTCTTAATTCACTTGTTTTATTTTTAAATTTATTTGTATTTCCAGCTCAAAACTGCTATCAACCGTGCAACCTCCCGAAATGACTTGTTGACTATTAGAGATGCCCTTGAAGTTTCTTCTGATATGTACAAGAAAGACATAAATAACGTGGCAGATTATGTCCAGCGCCATCTTATTTCTCTATCTATTTGGGAGGAGTTACGGTATGTATTGCATGTTATTATTTATTCAGGGTTTAATCATCAGGAGTATAGTCGTTTGATAATCATTTGTTGTATCATTACATGGTTGCTTTTTCATTCTCTTTCCATTGCACCTGGCTTTTGCTTTTGCTCTTTTCTTTCCTTGGCTTGTTTGAGAATCACTGATAGTTTTAAATCTGATGCCTTCAGCAAACTTTCACTCAAGAAATCAACTGGCTGACTATTATCGTCTCTAGGTTAAATTTCTAGTACTGTCTTTAAAGGGCCAGAATCATGTGAGACTTGTCTATAACATTAGTTTCCACTTTCCAGCATTTTAAAGGATTCAAATTTGACTCCAATATCAGACTGGGGGTCATATGAGGCAATGGGTTTCATTGTATGTAAGAGGGAATTATCAAGGTTAAGATGGGCACCCAAGTGAGGTGAAGAATCTCTCCACAAGTTAGCTTTTGAGGTGAAAATTAACTGACTTGTGGCCTGTTTGGTTCTATTGCGGGCTTCCCTAGGAATGGTAATCCAGAATGCATTACCATTAGAAAGTGTGTTTTTTACATTTTTTTCCCTATAGAGGAGTCCATATTACTCAATGTGGGACTAGGGATCTCAGACCACATTGGTTTCCATCAAATACTAAGTAGCTTAGGAGGTTCCCGTAACAAAAGTATGTGCCTTTAAACATCAAATTGGTTATGGCTCATTTAGATATAATGCAAGATTAGATAAGTTCCAGAAGATGCATCGGACCTGTGTTTTCCAGAAGCTGTGCTTCTGATTATACAAGCAATTTGGCAATTTATTCATGTGAACTCATAAGAGTAGTTGATAAAGCATCACCATATAGTGTATGGAGGTCCAATATGTTAGAATAGGTTTTGGCAAATTTGTCATCATGTTATTAAGTTGTTTCTCCTAGTCATGTTTGACATGGGTTCTCAAATCTGTCTGTAGGATGAAGCACATATCCAAGTCTTGGTTCTCATTCACTGTTGTGCTTCGTGATTTGTTTTATAAGGACGTTGAGAACGTGGAATTTTTTTCTTGGCTAACAAAAACCGTGAATTGAGTTATTTATAAATTTTAATATTGTAGAAATCCACATTACTTAATTTTTATGTACTTACATCTTTTAAAGTCCATTATTTTTATGAAGATTCCAATGATAGAAAGATAGTATTGTGAACATAATTCATGCAATTTCCATGCAGGTTTTGGGAAGGGTATTTTGACTATTTAATGGAGCAATCTTCAAACGAGTAAGGGTTTCATAAATCTTCTAAATTCTTGTATTTGATTTTTCTATGATTGTCTTTTGTTTCCCTTTCTGTAAGGATGCTTTTTGTAGTGAATGAGCAATCTGCTTCTCTCGATAATCATCAAAGGGAGCCGAGTACGTATATGTAGGAATAGGAGCAATAATCTCTCCGAAAAATAAGGGACCAGTATCGGTCAGTAGCTAAATAAGATAATATCTAATTAACGACTGATCCTACCCAATCTCCTAGGATAACGAATATTAATAGAAAATATTTACGCATAACATCTAATAATTACATGGTCTGACCACACTCCTCCTCAAGTTGGAGCATAGATGTCTGTCATGTCCAACTTGCGTATACAACTATCAAATGCTGGTCCATGTAGGCCTTTGGTCAGTACATTTGTAGCCTGTAGCTTTGTAGGGAGGTATATAAGACATACTATACTTTCTTCCACTTTTTCCCTTATGAAATGCCTGTCTATCTCCACATGCTTGGATCTTTCATATTGAACAGGATTCAAAGCCATACTTATTACAGCCTTGTTGTCACAATAAAGTTTCAATGGTGGATCAACCTTGACATGTATCTCTTCCATTATGCGTCTTATCCACAATCCTTCTGAGATGTCTTGGGAGAGAGATCTTAGTTTAGACTCAGCACTGCTTTTAGAAACTGCCCTTTGCTTTTGGCTTTTCCAGGTAACAAGATTTCCCTATACAAATGAGCAATAACCTGAAGTTGATCTTTTATCCTTATAGGTTCCTCCCTAGTCTACATCCGAGTAAACTTCTATTAATCTTTGCTCTTGCCTTTGAAAAATAAACCTTTTCCGGGTGTGCCCTTTAGATACCTTAGAATTCTGTATGCAGCATCTATATGGCTCTTTCTTGGATCACACATACTTTGCCTGGCAACACTTACAGCAAAAGCTATATCAGGTCTAGTGTGGGAGAGATATATCAATTTTCCCACCAACCTTTGATATCTCTCCTTGTCTACAGGCTCATCTTTCTCTTCATTTTCTTCTAACTCTCCCTCAAGTTCCTCATTAGATTCTTCACTTTCTTTTCCTCTTTGGACTTCTTTTTTACCTTCTTTACTACAATTGGCGTATCTACAAGTTTGCACCCTAACATACCAGTTTCCATTAGTAGATCAAGGATATATTTCCTTTGAGACACATAGAGCCCTTGTTTTGACCTTGCAACTTCCATTCCCAAAAAGTATTTTAAGTTGCCAAAATCCTTTACTTAAAACTCTTTACTTGAAGCATTTTTCACTCTCCCAATCTCCTCTTCATAATCTCCTGTAATGATTATATCATCCACATATGCTATGAGAAACACCTCTTATCGTTTTCCATTCTTACAAACATGGTGTGATATGAGAGACCCTGCTTATACCCTTCAGCTTTCAATACTCTTGAAAATATATCAAAGCACACACGAGGGGATTGTTTTAAGCCATAGAGTGATCTCTTCAGTTTACATACTTGATTTATGTGCCCTGTGCCGAAACCTGGAGGTAAGCTCATATAGACTTCTTCTTTGGGATCTTCGTTCAGAATAGCATTTTTTATGTCTAGTTGATGTAATGGCCATTCAAGATTTACCGCCACAGAGAGCAGAATTCTAATGGTATTTAACTTAGCTACAAGAGCAAATGTCTCCTTATAGTCTGAGCCATATGTTTGTGTAAAGCCTCGTGCCACCAATCTAGCTTTTAGTCTATCTAAGGCACCTGTGGAATCATGTTTTGGAGTAAAAACCCATTTGCACCCTACTACTCTTTTTCCCTTGGGCAACTTCACTATATCCCAAGTTTCATTCTTTACCAAGGCTTTCATCTCCTCCATAACAGCAGCTCTCCATTGTGGTATGCTCAAAGCTTTATATACATCACGGAGAATCTTCATTGTATCAAGATTAGTCACAAACACACGAAATTGGGGAGATAGAGCATGGTAACTTAAAAACTTCTAATAGGGTGCTGAGTGCATGATCTTGGTTGCTTTCTAAGAGCAATAGGTAGATCTAGATCATCTATCTCCTTCTCTTCAGCTATACCTTTCACTTCTGGTTCATTATTCTCCATAATCTCACCTTCAGGGACCTCTATCAGTTCTGAATCTGGTAGTGCTATTGGCATGACAGCCTCTACATCTCACCTCTTCTTCCTTGATTAAGTCATGAGTTCTTTTTCCGGTGCGGTACCTGCATTACTGTTATTCTTCAAAGGACTTTTCACTTTAGTTTCTGGCCTAGAAGTCTGAATTTCAGGAGCAGGTATGTTTGAAGCAAGAGGTTCAGAACAGTTTTGAGGCTGTTCTGGCTTGTCTGAAATAAAGTCAGGCGAGTCAGGCAGTTCTGAAGGTTCGAAAGTATTTTCTTGGTTTTCCTGACTCCCCAAATACTGAAATTCATTCCCCCTCTCCCCCTAAATCAAAGAATTTGGGAAAAAAGGGACAGATTTGAAGAATGTGACATCTCGACTGATATATAATTTCTTAGATGAGGGATCAAAACATTTATACCTTTTTTGAGTGGAGGAATAACCAAGGAAAATACATTTGACAGCTTTAGGATCCAATTTGTGGGAATGATGAGAATGGACAAAAGCTGTACAACCAAAGATTTTGGGGGGAAGATGAGTATCAATATGAGGAATAGAGTGAGATTCTTTTAACTTATCAAGTGGGGTAACATGAGACAAGACACGGCTAGGCATGCGATTTATCAAGTAAGTTATAGTGAGTATTGCATCACCCCAGAAATATTTAAGGACATTATGTGTAAACATGATAGCACGAGCAACTTCCAATATGTGTCTACTCTTCCATTTAGCAATACCATTTTGTTGTGGGGTGTTGGGACATCTACTCTTATGAATGATGCCATGGTTTTTTAAGAAAATATTCATTGACTTATTACAATATTCAGTTCCATTATTTGTATGAAGTACTTGGATTGTGGTGTCAAATTGAGTTTTGGTCATGGTATAAAGTTTAGAGAAAATAGTGGGAACACTAGATATATCATGTAATAAGTAAACTCAACATAATCTAGTGTGGTCGTCAATGAAGGTAACAAACCATTTGGTATGAGTACGATTAAGAACACGAGCAGGACCCCACACATCACTATGAATAATGGAAAAAGGACGAGAAGATTTATATTCAGAAGATTTGTAACTAGATCTTTGATGTTTAGCAAGTTCACAATCAGTACACTGAAACGAAGACAACTTATGGAATTTAGGAAATAAATGAGATAAATATTGAAAGTTTGGATGACCCATTCTCCTATGCCATAACATAAGATCATTGAAGTCCTTATTCTCAGAGGTAGAGGCAATATTGCACCGGATTCTAGACCAAAGATTACTCACGGTTGATTCATCGAGATAGTAGAGACTATTATGTTCCTTAGCATTCCTAATCATCCTTCTTGATGAGAGGTCCTGAAAAATACAATGGGTAGGACAAAAATGAGCCCAACACTGAGCTTGTTTTGTCAATTTACTAATGGACAATAAGTTGCATGCTAGGTAAGGCACATAAAGTACGTCTTCTAATTTCATAACATCAGAGATAATAACATTCCCTTTACTCGTTATAGATAAGGCAGACCTATTAGCAGTACTGACAGTTTCATGCCCAGCACAAGGTGTATAGGAACTAAATAACTTAGAATCTGATATCATATGATTTGTGGCTCCAGTATCAACAATCCACTTGAAATTACTAGTAGTAGTAAGTGAAGCACAGTTACCTTTGTGTGCTATTGATGCAGTGTGACCTTGCTTCTGATTCTGTTCAGCCTTTTGAATCACATCAAGCATTTCAATCAACTTACCTAGCCGTTCTTTGTTTATCAGAGGTAATGAATTTGAGTTAGTCTTCTCTTATAAAATGTCATGAGAAGTCTAATATCCCTGCGTCTTTCCCCTTCTAGGCTTCCAATCTGCTGGCTTCCCATGCAATTCCTAACAAGTCTCACGAGTATGCCCTTGTTTCTTGCAATGTTCACACCAAGCCTTCCTTTTTTGGCTTCTATGATCTACACCTTTGTTAACAAGTGCAGCAGAGTCTAGAGACGGTGAAGAATTGGGAACCATAATAGGGAGCATCACCTTACGTCGTGAAGCTTCTAGGTGTACTTCGGAGAAAACTTCTCTTGTTGAAGGTAGTGGTGATTTGCCGAGAACACGTCCACGTACATCATCTAGAGATTGATGTAACCCAGCTAGGAATTGAAAAACACGTTCATTTTCAATTTGCTCCTTATAACGAGCCGCATCAGTAGCATTTGACACTCCACCTCAGTCATTAGATCGAGTTCTTGCCACAATGCAATAAGCTCCAACCAGAATGCAGTAACTTTTTGTTCACCTTGTTAAATGGTCCACGTCTTTGTTTTGAGTTCATAAAGGCATGCTAAGTCTTTTCCATCTGAATAAGAGACTCGCACAGCCACCCATATCTCATGCGCGGAAGGTAAGAACATAAAACTTTGTTGAACTTCAGGTGTCATCGCATTAATGAGTCACGACGAGACCAGAAAATCATTGGTATACCACCGTTGCCTTTCATCGGGTTTGGTTTCATTTGGGATTCTGGACAAGCCATCCAGAAGACTTGTCTTACTTTTGCCTCCAGCAGCAAGTTTCATAGCTTGTGCCCATGTGCGATAATTGTCGCCCTTTAGCTTCACAGTCACGATTTGCATCGAAGATCCATCGTGGTTAGTAGTCAACCCAGAATGACCACCAACCTTGTTCAAATCATACAGCGAGGACCCATCACTCTGCATCATCGGTGAAGATGGGCGACTGGGGTACAACTCGTTTATGATGCTTTCTAACTCGTGCTCGGCGTCAAAAATTATTTGGAGAAGCAGTCGGCTTTGATACCATGTAGTGAATGAGCAATCTGCTTCTCTCAATAATCATCAAAGGGAGCTAAGTACATATATACAGGAATAGGAGCAATAATCTCTCCGAAAAATAAGGGACCAGTATCGGTCAGTTGCTAAATAAGATAATATCTAATTAAAGACTGATCCTACCCAATCTCCTAGGATATCGAATATTAATAGAAAATATTTACACATAATATCTAATAATTACATGGTCTGACCACACTTTTCCTCTACCTCATTTCTTTCACTTGTAAATGCTTACTAAAATTTTCTTCTCTTTAAACGTCAACAGTTTTTATGTTGTATCATATTGTCCAATTAACATATCACTATTAATGTATGCTTTTCATGACATTCTGCATTTTGATTTTTGTTTTGTACCATCTGTGCAATTTTTTTTTTGGCATCTGTCATGTGCCATCAATGTGGCTACGCCTATAATGTTTCTTTTCTGAACTTTTCCTGATCATTCTGCCATAGGTCAAATTGGTTCTACAATTGAGAAGTGTTGGTCAAGCTGTTTTCTAGTTCACAGTTCTGTTTTCTTAACTTACACAGCCAAGTGATTGTTGCAGCCAGATCAATAGCTATCCGCCTGATTGTCATACAATTCAAATTCTTTAAGGACAGGTTTAATATCATGGCACAATCAATGTGTGAGTTACACTAAGGAATATTTAAAACAATTTTGTAGCCCACCATTTTTTGTCTGATCAAAGCCATATTGGCATCCCAAGGAAGCGAAGGGGAGATTTTAAGGGGTTAGATTAAAAAAAAAAATTGAAGAAGTGGCGCATAAAGTTCTTCATTGATTTTCCTTGCTCTTTTTACATCTTCATTAACCTGTTGTAATCCCACGTGTCCATTTTTTAAAAGTTGAAATCATTAAAATGTTCCCTCCCTTACCCTCCCCTCCATTCCCCTCAAACCTTAATGGAATTCCAGAGGTCATTCTTTTGTCCTCATCTCTTTACATGTATTCTAAATAAAAGGGTGATTCAAATCTTCGAGAAACATTAAACTGTATTTGCTGCAAAATGAACTTTAGCAACAGAGAGAATCTTCTTAAAGTGGGATATCTGAAACTGTAAGAATGGGGGGAAGAAATTTTGAAAGGTCTGAATGTGACATACTGCCACATTATTATTGAGGAGGAAACTAAGCTTGACATATAGACCAAGTGGTATCCATCTAGATGTTCAATAGACATATCCTCTTGTATTCCCTCTGATTAATGCATATATTAGCTTATAAGAATGCTAGTAGCATCATGGTGTGCATTTATTTGCTGCAAAAACTCTACGAGGTACATATTCAAGGTTCTTGTTTACTCTTTCTGCCCACAAGATGGTATTAATTTACCCTGGATAACAGAATGTTGGTTGTGCTTTTCATATCTAGTTAATAAAGAAATGGAATAGATTGTCACTTTGAGCATTTTCTTGATTCAGAGATAATATCTTCTCGTGACATGTTTTAAATAATTAGTATACTAATCAAGTAAAGAAAATGCCAGCAGGTTGTATACGTTACCCACAACTTTTATTCATCTATTTCTTTTATTTTAACCATCCAGTACACTTCAATAAGATGAGGACTATCTACTTTACTTGTTACGCATCCCTTGTCAATCATTTATTCTTTAAAATCCACTGGTAGTTTAGATTGAGAGATGAGTATATGCTTATTTTTTCTTCTCAACTACTATTTACCCGAACATTTGAGTTTCCTGGTTTGATATATGAAATCAAATACGGGTGTATTATTCTGTAAAAAGACCCTTGCTTATGAGTTGACCATCTTGTGCCAGGTCCGCCAACTATTCATCTCTGGTGACAGCACAGCTGATTGTAGTGGCATCACATATGGTACTGTTTTTGTTTTCATATGCTTAGTTTTTCCTTTTATTATTCCAAAATTCATCTTTGGCAAATGGTTTTTTTCCCCCAAAATACTGAAACTTCTCTCTCTCTCTCTTTTTTTCCTAACTACGATACAGGTTGGGCTTGGGCTTCCTGACAATGATGCTTGGTACATGATTGAAACAATAGCTGAGAGAAATAATGTTGGGTCCAAGCAGTTTGTAAGTTAGATTCTGTGTTTCAAAGCGTGGTTCTATTTTAAATTTATATTTATTATGCATAAAATCAGGGTAGAAAAGGAAATTATGTCTGACTTTTTTCAAAAACAAACCTACTTTACATAAAACATGTGCTTAATTCTACCATAAATAAGAAAAAATCAAATTTGAATTTCAAGCCACAAATCAGATCAGAGTTGAATCTCATCACCCTTGCCATGGATTCTCCATGACTTATTTTCTTCTTGATCTTCCTCACTTGATATGGGAAAAATATATTTTTCATTCATACTGAGTAGTGTGCTACAAAAGCATAGTTATACGCTAAGCTAGGAAACAAGGTAATAAAGACTAACAATAACTAATAATGCCTATTAACTCCTAATAAATAGAATAGAATATTTACAATAATTACAATATCACCACACTCCCCTTCATATTGGAGCATAGATACTAATTATGTCTGACTTGCTTATGCAACTTTCAAACGTAGGCTTATATAACCCTAGTCAAAACATATGTAGTTTGAAGATTGGTAGGAAAATAAATTGAACATATGATTCTTTCTTCCACTTTTTCTCTTATGAAATGTCTATCTACTTTCACATGTTTAGATCTTTCATGTTGAACAAGATTTAGGTTCATGCTTATAGTGGCCTTATTGTCATAATAGAGTTTTAGTGGAAGGTCCGCCTTGACTTGAATCTCCTCTAGAACTCGTTTCAGTTACAACTCTTCCATTATTTCTTGAGCCAACGCTCTTAATTCAAACTCAATACTGCTCTTAGAAACAACCTTTGGTTTTTACTCTTCTAGGTAACCAGGTTTCCCTACACAAAGGAACAATAACTAGAGGTTAATCTTCTTTCAAGATGAGTTCCTCTCCAATCTACATCTATGTAAACCTTTATGGTTCTTTGCTCTTGTTTTGGGAAGAATAACCTTTTGCTAGGGGTACTTTAGATACCTCAAAATCTTGTAAACTACTTCTATATGCTTTTTCTTTGGTTCAGATATGTATTGACTAGTCATACTATTTGCAAAAGCAATATCCGGTTTTGTATGGGAGAGATAAATTAGCTTCCCAACAAGTCTTTGATATCTTTCTTTGCAATCTTCCTCTTCTTTCTCATTTTCTTCTTCTTTCTCAACCTCATCATCAAAATTGTCTTCTTTTTCTTCTGACTTTTCTTAATTCTTCTTAGGCTTGTTTTTCTTTGGAACCGCAATAGGTGTCTTAGTAGGCCTACAACCCAACATACCTATTCCTTTCAGGAGGTCAAGTACCATACTTCCTCGAAGATACATAGATTCTTTTCTTTGACCTTGCTACTTTCATGCCAAGAAAGTATTTCAAGCTATCGAGATCCTTTACCTCAAATTCTTTTCCCAAAGAAATCTTTATTCTTATTATTTCCTCAAGATAGTCTCTTGTGAGAATGATGTCATCAGCATATACAGTAAGGATGTACCTCTTACCTCCCTCAGCTTTGACAAACATCATATGGTTTAACAATCTCCGCTTATAGCCCTCTAGCTTGAGAATTTTCGAGAACCTATCAAGCCATGCCCTTGGAGACTGCTTTAAGCCATATAAAGATTTTTTTAGTCTACACACTTGATCGCTTCTACCTTTATTAAATCCTAAAGGTAGAGTCATGTATACTTCCTCTTTGGGTTGGCTACTCTAATGGTGTTTAATTTTGCCACTTGTACAAAGGTTTTTTAGTAATCAATACCATATATCTGAGTAAACCACCCTTTCTCTACCAAGCGAGCTTTTAACTTGTCAAGAGTATCATCGGCCTTGTACTTTTGGATAAAGACCAACTTGCAGCTTACAAGCTTCTTGCTATTCGGTCTTGGAACAATCTCCCATGTTCCATTCTTCTTTAGAGCTTTCATTTCTTCTATAACTGTATTCCTCCTTTCTGGTATTTCCAGTGCCTCTTGGATGTTGTTGGAAATGGCAATTTTACTGAATTAGTGACAAATGCCCAATAACTCGAAGAGGGAGCATTGTAGGATATATGTTCTGTATTCAATGTAAGGTACAAGAACAAGGTTGTTTTCTGAGAGCAATGAGTAAATCAAGATCATATTGGTCACTAACCTATTTAGGAATTTGTTGAGGTGGTTTAGGAGCTACCACTAGTTTTGACTCTTTTGGTGCTTCAAGTATGAGGTGCTTTCCTTGGATTTATGGCAAGTAAATTAACAAGTATTTGTCTTTTTGCTTCTCTACATCTCCCCTTACTTTTGAGTTGTCTTCTTTGATTGACACGAGATGGTGATGTAGAAGGTGAGCGTGATGGTTCTGGTAATTGTGGTGGTAATGGCTCTGTTTGTGTAAAGCAAGAATGTGGGATTTTTGAGAGGAGAAATATGATTTTTCATTAATCATAATAGTAGGATACAGAAGACTATATATACACAAAGCTAGAAGACAAGCAAATAAATGGCTAATAATTCCAATAAATCCTATTAACTCGTAATAATCAGATAATAATATTTACAATAAATACAATATCTCGACACTCCCCCTCAAGGATCATAGATGTTAATCATGTCCAACTTGCTTATGTAACTTTCAAATGCAGGCTTATGTAAACCCTTCATCAAAACATCTGTAGCTTGAAGGTTTGTAGGTAAATAAATCAAACATATGATTCCTTCTTTCACTTTTTCTCTGATGAAATGTCTATCCACCTCCACATGTTTTGATTTCTCATGTTGAACAGGATTTAAGGCCATGCTTATAGCTGCCTTATTGTCACAATAAAGTTTTAATGGTGAGTCCACTTCGACATGTATCTCTTCTAGGATTCGTTTCAGCCATAACTCTTCCATTATTCCTTGAGCCAAAGCTCTTAACTCGGACTTAGCACTACTCTTAGAAACAACTCTTTGCATTTGACTCTTCCAGGTAACCAAGTTCCCCCAAACAAAGGAACAATAACCAGAAGTTGATCTTCTATTAGGATGAGTTCCTCTTCAATCGGCATCTGTGTAGACCTTTATAGTTCTCTGTTCTTGTTTCTGGAAGAATAACCCTCTACCGGTAGTACCTTTTAAATATCTCAAGATTCTATAGACTGCTTCCATATGTTTCTTCTTCGGCTCAGACATGTATTGGCTAGCCATACTTACTGCAAAGACAATATCCGGTCTTGTATAGGAGAGGTAAATCAACTTCCCGACAAGCCTTTGATATCTCTCTTTATTAGTGGCCTCTTCATTCTCATTGTCTTCTTCTTCAACCTCATCATAAGAATCATCTTCCTCATTTGACTCTTCCTTATTCTTCTTAGGCTTCTTTTTCTTCGGAACCACAATAGGGGTTTCAGCTGGCCTACAACCTAACATACTTGTTTCCTTCAGAAGATCAAGTATATACTTCCTCTGAGATACATAAATACCTTGACCTTACAACTTCCATCCCAAGGAAGTGTTTCAAGGCACCAAGGTCTTTTACCTCAAATTCTTTGCCCAGAACAACCTTTACTCTTGTTATTTCCTCAAGATAATCTCCTTTAAGAATAATGTCATCAACATATATAATAAGGATACACCTTTTACCTCTCTCAACTTTAACAAACATTGTATGGTCTGACAATCCCTGCTTATAGCCTTCTTGCTTGAGGACTTTTGAGAATCTGTCAAACCATGCCCTAGGAGATTGCTTTACGCCACATAGAGATTTCTTCAATCTGCATACTTGATCACCTCTACCTCTATCAAATCCTAGTGGTGGAGTCATGCAAACTTCTTCTTTTAGTTCTCCATTTAGGAAAGCAGTCTTGATGTCAAGCTGATGGAGTGGCCATTCTAGATTAGCTGCTACAGATAAGAGAACTCTAATGGTGTTTAATTTTGCCACTGGTGCAAAATTCTCTTTGTAGTCTATACCATATGTCTGAGTAAACCCTCTTGCTATCAAGCGTGCTTTTAACTTGTCAAGAGTTCCATCGGCCTTGTACTTTAGGGTGAAAATCCCCTTGCAGCTTACAAGCTTCTTGCCACTTGGCCTTTGAACAATCTCTCATGTTCCATTCTTCTTTAGGGCTCTCATTTCCTCCATGACTGCATTTCTCCACTCTGGTATTTCCAATGCCTCTTCAATATTGTTGGGAACAATAACTTTATCTAGAGTAGTGACAAAAGCATGATAACTTGGAGAAAGAGCCTTGTAGGATATGTGCTTTTGTATTGGGTGCAAAGTACAAGAGCAAAGGTTATTTTCTAAGAGCAATAGGTAAATCAAGATCAGATTGAACACTCATTTGTTCAGGACTTCGCTAAGGTGATTCAGGAGCTACCATTGGTTTTGACTCCTTTAGTGCTTCAAATACAAGTTGCTCTCCTTCCTTGGATTTATGCTTTCGAGAATAAACCAACAAGTCTTTATCTTTTTGCCTCTCTATATCTCCCCCTGATGTTGAATTATCTTCTATGACTGGCACAAGAGATGGTGATGGTGGTAAGGGTTTGGATGAGAGTGATGGTTCTGGTAATTGAGGTAGTAATGACTCTACTGGTTTGGACCAAGAATAAGGAAGCACTTGTTCTTTGTTAATATCTTGTTCCCAAGTTTGAGATTCACCTATATTCTCCCCCTGAATTGAAGAGTTGGGGTAAAAGGGCATATCTTCATGAAAAGTAATGTCAACGCTTACGTGTGTTTGAAAATAGGATTGAAACATTTGTATCCCTTTTGAGTAGGGGAATAACCAAGGAATACACATTTTGTAGCAGGAGGTCCAAGTTTACTAGATTGATGGATGTGAACAAAGGCTGTACACCTAAAGACATGAAGAGGGATGTTGGTTTCAATATGAGATGTGGAGAAAACACTTTGCAATTTTTGAAGAGGAGCATCAAAAGACAAAATACGACTGGGCATTCGATTGATGAGATAGGTTGCAGTTAAGATGGCATCCCCCCAATAAAACTTTGCGACATTATGCGTGAACATGAGGGCCCTAGCCACTTCAAGAATATGTCTATTTTTCCTTTCTGTAATCTTGTTTTGTTGGGGTGTATGGGCACAAGTGCTTCAATGGACAATGCTATGCTTGTGAAGAATGGTACTTAAGACTTGGTTAAAATATTCAACACCATTGTCGGTATGTAGAACTTGGATATTTGTGTTGAATTGGGTTTTTATCATGGTAAAGAAATTGATAAATACGGATGCAGTCTCAGACTTGTCTTTTAGGAGATACACCCAGCAAACACGAGTATGATCATCGATGAAGGTAATGAACCATTTTGATTTGGTGTGGTTTGGGATACGAGATGGACCCTATATATCACTATGTATGGTAACAAATGGTTTGGTGGGTGTATACGGTGTTCTAGGAAATGATGTTCGTTGGTGCTTTGCCAGTTCACACACTTCACATTTGACATCATGGTTGGTAGGGCAAAGGTTTGGGGACAAACAAGATAAATAATGAAAGTTAGGATGCCCCATCCTCTTATGCCATAACAGAATATTTGTATCTTTAGAGGTCGATATAGAGTTACATACATTAGTGGCTTGATGGTGACTCTCTCTAGCATTCTCAAGGAAGAAGAGTCCCTCGCACTCTTTAACACGTCCAATTGTCATACCCAATGATAGATCCTAAAAAACACAATGAGTTGGAAGAAAATTAGCACAACATTTAGATTGCTTTGTTAGTTGGCTAACAGACAACAAATTGCTTGCTAATTTTGGTATATGAAGAACAGATTCTAGAGTGATAGATTCAGAGATATGAACACTCCCTTTCCCTGCAATAGGAGTAAGAGACCCATCTGCAATTTTGACTTTCAAATTTCCAGCACATGGAGTATATGTAGAAAATAATTGGTGGTTATCGGATTCGATGTGCCAGAGTCTACGATCCACACTGTTTCAGCCCTCGACGTTTTTAAGGCTTGAAGAAAATTACCTTTTTGTGCCAAGAAGATAGAGACTGATTGTGGAATTTGACTAACACTTAGTGCATCAGATTCAACAACTTGTGATGACAGTTTTGCAAGTTTCATCATCCATTGTCGAAAGCTTATAAGCAAACGGGCACAAATCAAATCAAGAAGACCAAGACATACCACTTCTAGGATTAGAAGTCCCATTTCCCTTAGAAATGTTTGGGTATTTGTGTTCTTTAGGTCCAATTTGTTCTGACAATACGCATATTCAACGAACAAGGCGAAGGCTTGGAAGACCCACAATAGGAAAATGTTGAGACTAGGTCGGAAATGGTCCATCATTGCCGGAACAAGTTGTCATTGCCGAAAACAGCTCACCACGTGCTTGGACTCTCCCTCTAAAGCAGACTGGACGAGTGGTGCGTGTGACAGCCACGCGCCGTTGACGGACGCCAAACTTCAGGGTTGCGCCGATCGGAGGTCTCTAGTCCTTCCTTGGTCAGCAGTGAGATCCAACGGCGCCTCTCGTCCTCCATTAGGGTTTTATCCGTCAGCTAGTTTGAAACTATGCTATAGGGCGGAATAAAAAAACAACTAGGGTTCTGATCTACTGAGCTCTGATACCATGTGGGATTTTTGAGAGGAGAAATATGATTTTCCATTAATCATAATAGTAGGATACAGAAGAGTATATATACACAAAGCTAGAAGACAAGCAAATAAATGGCTAATAAATGCTAATAATTCTAATAAATTCTATTAACTCCTAATAATCAGATAATAATATTTACAATAAATACAATATCTCCACAAAGAATCAAGGAGCACTGGTTCTTTGTTAGTTTCTTGTTCCCAAGTCTGAGATTTACTTATATTCACCCCTTGAATTGAAGAATTGGGATGGAAAGGCGTGTCTTCATGAAAAGTAACTTCAAGGCTGACAAATGTGTGTTTGGAAAGAGGATCAAAACATTTGTGTCCCTTTTGAGTAGGAGAATAGTCAAGAATATGCATTTTATAGCACGAGGTCCAAGTTTACTGTTTTGGTGGATTTGGACAAAGGCTATGCACCCAAACACACAAAGAAGAAGGTTGGTTTTAATATGAGAGGTGGAAAAAAACACTTTGCAATTTTGGAGAGGAGTGTCAAAGGATAAGATATGTTGTAGTTAAGATAGCATCCTCCCAGTAAAAATTTGAAACATTGCGAATGAACATGAGTGCCCTAGCAACTTCAAGAATGTGTCTGTTTTTCTTTTTTGCAATCTCATTTTGTTGGGGTGTATGAGCATAGGTATTGTGATGGAGAACACCGTGCTTTTGAAGGAAAGAACTCAAGATTTGGTTAAAATATTTAGTACTATTGTCAATATGCAAGAGTTGGATACTTGTGTTGAATTGGATTTTTATCATGGTGAAGAAATCGATAAACACAGATGCGGCCTTAGACTTGTCTTGTAAGAGATACACCCAACAAATGAGTATGGTCATCAATGAATGAATCACTTTGATTTGGTGTGGTTTGGGATATGGGATGGTCCTTACAAATCACTATGGATGGTAGCAAAAAGCTTGGTGCGTATGTACAATGTTCTAGGGAATGATGTTTGACCATGCTTTGCTAATTCACACACCTCACATTTGGCATCTTGGTTAGTGAGAGAAAGGTTTGGGAAGGAGTGAGATAGGCACTGGAAATTGGGATGACCTATTCTCTAGTGCCATAATAGAGTATGTCTTCAGAAATCAATATAGAGTTGTATATATTGGTGACTTCTTGGTGACTCACTCCAGCATCTTTAAAGAAGTAGAGCCCCTCTCACTCTTTAGAATGTCCAATCATCACCCCTAATGATAAATCCTGAAAGACACAATGGGTTGGAAGAAAATTAGCACAACATTTAGGTTGCTTTGTTAGTTGGCTAACAAATAATAGGTTGCATGTTGATTTCAGTACATGAAGGACAAAGTCCAAAGCATTGGATTCAAAGATATGAATACTTCCTTTCCTAGCAATAGGGGCAAGAGAGCCATCTACAATTGACTCTCAAGTTCCTAGCATAGGGAACAGAGGTTGAAAACAATTCATGGCAATCAATCATATGATCTAATGCTCTAGAGTTAATAATCCACAAAGGTTTATTCTGTGACGTTTTTAGTGCTTGAAGGAAGCTACCCCTTGTAGCCACTAATATTGAAGAAACGGACTTAAGATATGTTCCACAACAACTGCAGCGTCAGACTTGGCAATTTTATGCATGGGTTTTAGCTCTAGGCTATCTAAGCATACCTCTATAGCATTTTCAACAATTGTAACATTACTGTGTCGGAGTTGAAGATGCATATTGTTTCTCAGAACCAAAGCAACCTTATTGCAAAGTGTAAGTGCACAAAACTGAAGTTGTAAAATAAAATGAAGACAAGAGAAATACAGTCCTTCCCCTAACAATGATTGGTAGAAAAATAATGGTAAGCAAACACACAGGAGAGCTGATTTGGTAGCTTGTCCAACAAAGAAAGAAGCACCCATGGCTGAAACATTGAAGGGAGTGGCTGGAAATGTGGAGTCAGCATCAGAGGAGCTGACCGTTGTCAAAAAACACTGTGCACGCGCTGACAACATGCCATTGGAGCCGAAACTGAAAGAGGCATGCGGAGCCCACACGCACTGCTGTATCCTGGGTTTGGCCTATCGAAAAATGCTAGTCCTTCCTAGGTGAGTGGTGACATCAATGGAGGAGAATGGCAGATCTAACCCTTACTCTGTCCATGAAAAACCCTACGCTGAGTTGGACAAATGAGAGGCATTCTGAAAACCCAACCCTAACCAAGCTCTAATACCATGTGAGAAAACATATATTTTTCATTCATACTGAGTAGTGTGCTACAAAAGGGTATTTATACACCAAGCTAGGAAACAAAGTAATAAAGACTTATAATAACTAATTTAATGCCTATCAACTCCTAATAAATGGAAAAGAATATTTACAATAATTACAATATCACCACACTTGAGTTTTCTTTCTTTCTTTTTTTTTTTAGATGATATTGTTTAGTTGTATTAGCTAGTCCATTTGTTTTAATGTTTGGTAGAGTTTTTTTTTTTTTTTTTTTGGGTTTTAACCTCATTAATGTTTGGTAGATGAAACTTTGGCTTAGTTTACTGAAATATTTCTTGTATGATTGTTTCAGATAAAACTTAGAGGGTTCTTGTCACACATCCAGCAACTACGGAATGGTTACTGGGGAATCACCTCTATGAAAACACAGTCTTTGTCATCCCTTGCATTGCCATCCCCACATACAAAAGATGCAAAAGATGAGCACCAGCAACCTGCTGAGGCAACTGGAAGAAGCTGGGTGCAGAGCATGTTCAGCCGTGATACAACATCAAGATCTAGCTCATTCAGCCGTGTTCGTAGATGGACTTCAGATGGGGGTACTTCTTTGTCATAACATTATGTTAGAGATAAAATTATTCCTTGGCCTTCAACTAACGGCTAAAGCTTTTGGGACAAAACATGGCAAATGAGGAGAGCTTGCACTAACACTGAAGATGGAGGTTGACTATGAGATAAACTGTCGTTGATAATGATATTGGATAACTAAACTCCTAAAAAATGACATTCTGCAAGACTCTAGATAAACTCTTGAACCACTAGGAGTTCTACTTATATAGGTTTCTCCGCAGTTCCAAAATTGTATTAAAATATTCAGCATAATTTATGTTATTAATGTTTTGGGATGAAAGGGCCTTTGTGCAAGAAGGCATTTTAGTGATAGTAATGAAGCTATTGATTGGGATTTACCTAACATCTCAAGCTCTTGTGACTAAATGGCTGTTGACACTAGGCATTATGTTCCAGTATGATTATTTTGTCTTGATTTTTAAATAGCATTAGTAATACGACTGACTTTACTATTTTATGTGTTTGGCAGCAAATGAGAATGAAACTTCTCGCAAACAAGATCCATCAACAATTGGGCAGAAGAAGCTTCAAATCAATGTTCGCATGCTTAGGGGTCATAGTGGGGCTATTACTGCTCTTCATTGTGTTACCAAGCGAGAAGTATGGGATTTGGTGGGTGACCGTGAGGATGCTGGCTTCTTTATCAGTGGAAGCACTGACTGTACAGTAGGTGTCAATTTCTGTTTTCTTTTACTATGAATTAACCCTTGTAATAATCAAAACTCAGTGATGTTTGTTGTGCTTATACACTAATGCAGGTTAAGATCTGGGATCCTAGTCTTCGGGGTTCTGAACTCAGGGCAACTTTAAAAGGACACACAAGGTTCTCTCTCTCTCTCACACACACACACATGCACGCACGCACACATGCATGTCTCCCTCATTTGTTATGAATTTATTCGGGTATGCAGAACTGTTCGAGCCATAAGTTCAGACAGGGGAAAAGTAGTTTCAGGATCTGACGATCACTCTGTTTTAGTGTGGGATAAGCAAACAACTCAGCTTCTAGAGGAGCTTAAAGGTCATGATGCACAGGTATATTAACTTTTGGAAGATTTCTCGGCTGTGTTCTATAATAACAATGTGAAGATTCATTTTTTGTAAATGAGTCATGGAATATATGGTTTGGATGTTGAAACTAATCTTTGACAGCCAATTTTGTAGGTCAGCTGTGTACGCATGCTCTCTGGAGAGCGTGTTCTAAGTGCGTCACATGATGGCACTGTGAAAATGTGGGATGTTAGAACTGATACTTGTGTTGCAACAGTTGGCCGTTGCTCTAGTGCTGTCCTATGCATGGAATATGATGACAATGCAGGAGTCCTGGCTGCTGCTGGAAGAGATGGGTATGTTTATAAAATTCAATATTAGATGCTCGCTTTTATGTATGATTCAGGTATTTTGTCATTGATTTGTTGTCTGTGATCTACTCTCTTGCTTGCTTCACAGGGTTGCTAACGTATGGGATATCCACGCGGGTAGGCAGATGCATAAGCTCTTAGGACATACACAATGGATAAGGTAAACAAAAAGCACTTAGATTTTACACTCATTACTCATTTACCACATGTATTTATCAATGTATAAATGTGAAGGCACTATCTGATCCTATATTAAAAATGCAGGTCCATAAGAATGTCCGGTGATACTTTAATTACTGGTAGTGATGATTGGACTGCAAGGATATGGTCTGTTTCTCGAGGAACATGTGATGCTGTTCTAGCATGCCATGCAGGACCAATATTGTGTGTTGAGTATTCTCCTCTTGACAAAGGAATTATAACAGGTGTGCCATCTCTGATTCTTGCATATGCTGTTGTTTTGATCTCTCTCTTTCTCTCTGGTTTTTTTTTGGATGGGTGGTTTGGAGAGAATTTTAGATGATAGAAGCTTCTTGTTCTGTGCTTATGTCTCAATTGCTAATTAAACTGTTGAAATGTTCCTTTACAGGGTCAACTGATGGCCTTGTAAGATTCTGGGAAAATGATGAGGGTAAGAGATTTGGCCATCTTACATTGTTTCGAGTTCAGCTATTTTGCGTTCTTGATGTTTACTTTATATTTAATTTGCACGCTATGTATAGTAATATATTTGTGCAAGACATTTTATGTAAGCATCATTATTTTTCACTATAATAACTTGCCCCTTGCAATGCTAGGGATATTTAAACTTCAAAGAAGATTGAGAATTACTCCCTCCGGTTCTTATTATAGACCTATTAACAACTTTACATAGATTTAGGAATTCAAACTTTACATAGATTTAGGAATTCAAATAAAATTAATTAATTCCTTTAAAATTTTAAAATTACCCTTAATGAAGTTCAATAATTGGAAGTTGTTTAGTTAGGGAATATTAGAGCTAACGACATTTAGGGAAAAATGTGAGCATAATTTGTCTAAAAACTGTGAGCATGTCTCAATCTCCAGTTGCAATGACATTGTATAAAGCATAGACGCTTCATAAACTTGTAACCATATGTGAAATGTGATGGACATTAGTGTTGGATACAATACAAAACTTCAAAAAGCATTTGAACTTACATTTTGTTTTGCTGTCGTGTCTGCATCAATGTTTTTTCTTAGATGACATCAAATTTGTATAGACGTGGATAGTAGTAGACACAGAAGCACAGACTTATTTGCACAGGTGGGTCTTCTTCGTCTTAGGTTTTGCTTGGTTTAGTGAACATAGATTGAAAGCTATCTGCTGTATCTTTTAAAACTATTTTTTTGGTCAACGGAAAATCTTTCATGAAGAGGAATTCCTTTTTTACAGGGTAATGTTCTTCTTAGAAGAAATGAAATACTAGAATGTTACGCTAGTGTATGCATATTAGCTATCTCAGTACTCAGCAGAAGGGCACTTTTTGTAATGAGTGGGTGGACTTATCATTTCATTGATTTCTCAGGCATGATATGTTCCATAGTATACTGAACCGTAATGCATCCTTATGAAGTCTTTGAAATTAATCTCTAGCACTTGTGCTCCATCACTAGCTCAAAGATTCATTTGGGGACTAATGCTACCCTGCAGTTATTCACGAAACTAAATATTAATGTATCATTGTCATGGTATTTTTACCCCACCCATATGGCAATAATTGATGTTAATTGGAAATAATGTGTAATGTACATGCAATTTTTTTAAAAAAGGTGTCCGGTGGCACATGGTGATGTTACACACTTACACTTTCCATGTGCAGGAGGTATCAAGTGTATAAAAAATGTAACAATTCACAATGCTGCCATAGTATCTATCAATTCTGGGGAACACTGGTTAGGAATTGGAGCAGCTGATAATTCCATGTCTCTCTTCCATCGGCCTCAAGAAAGACTCGGCAGCTTTTCTGGCACTGGGTCCAAGATGGGTGGTTGGCAGCTTTATAGAACGCCACAAAAGACAGTTGCTATGGTATGCCTTGTCTTTTGCTTCCTGCTTTCTGAAACTATCTATTTGTTTGTCTATTTACTTCCATATTTATTTATTCATTTATTATATATTTCATTCTTCAAAATGGCCATGTTTCTGATATTCTTTGCATCCACAATGAATATTTCTTCGTTTATGCGCAAAATCTCTGAATATGTCAATGTACTTGCAACTGTTATTATTGCCATTACTTGTCAATTTCCTTGTGTCAATTTATTTTCTTCCGAAAGCTGTGATATTATAATTGGGCAAGTCACCTCAAGATAATGCTTATCATTGCCTTTGAGGGACGCATATATGTGGCAGCAAAATATCTGAAATTCTGATTTACAGTCCTCAGCCCTTCATCATTGGCTTAAACTTAACAATAATGAAATTCAATGTCTCTTTAGATAAATAAATTGATTGATGGTTGTTTTTCTGGATTGACAACGGCCCCTATTATGATATGCAGGTAAGATGCATGAGTTCTGACCTGGAGAGGAAAAGGATATGCAGCGGTGGTCGTAATGGAATTTTAAGGCTGTGGGATGCCACTATCAACATCTGATCTTGACTGATATCCACTTGAATTTTTATGGCTGAAACTTGAAAAAGAAGCGAATTCGTGACGGCAATTGCCTACAGTATTCTTGTTTATTCCCCAAGGCCCATACGTATATAATGTGTGTGATCTCGTACGAGTTCAAACCAAGAATGCAATTTTGGTTTATGGAATCTCTTCGCGAACAGCTATTGTTTGCTTTGTGTAGAGTTTGATGCATCCTCAATGTACATGTATACAAGGAACGATCAAATAAAATAGTGGATATTTTTTCCTTTTACAAGTTGATTGAAAGTTGATTTGCGCTACTGACCATTGTGTGGTTGTGAACTCGTAATCGAATCTGAGATGACTATCCATGTTAAACTAACAGTAACAATGGTTGTACAAAACATTGTATATCAAATACAAGGATGCTCCAAACAGTCAATAACAAGTAAAACAATGCAAGCCCCAACGGCTTCCTAACCGAATCCAAACAGTAAATTCTTTCTGGAATATTTGCCCAAAGTGTAATCAATCCCTAAATTTACATATTTTCCCTCGGAGAGCTTGCATCAATGCATTTTCCCTTACCAAGTATTTCAGAAGAATCTTCTTGAAGATTCTAGAGGAATAGGCTATGTCAATTTAGTCTTCTTAGACTTGATGCTCGGCTTCTCAGGAACATCGTCGTCATCTTCTTCTGAAGTTTCAACTAAATCATCAGGCACGTCTTGAGGAGCATTATGCTTCGTTATAAATTCCTTCAAAATAACCATGCTTTTCTCTTTCAATGAAACTAATTGCTCCGACAGAGAACCATTGTCTGCCTGAACAGAATGTGATTCTTCACCAAGGCGAAGTGAGGCTTTAACCAAAGGCTTGAGCGGCATGGCATCACAGGATTCAGCTTCCATCATAACCCCTACTCTGCATAGCAAACAACAAAAGGTCAGCTGCATCGTTTGAATTCTAATAAAGACAACGAGATTACAAAGTAACCAAAAGACAACAAACTTGATATAAGAAGCTCAAGGTAATACCATAAAATCTAGCATAAAATGATGTCAAGTTGACAGTACATGGGAACCCAGGGCCTATCCAACTCCTCTGCCCCGCCCCACACACCGCCCCCCGCCAAACAAAACAAAACAAAACAAAACCAAAAACGCTTTTTTTTCCCCTCTCTCTCCTTTGTTGTGTCAAAACGTATATTTCACTGAATGGAAGTATAGGCTATATGGAATACAAGTACCATGAATCTATAACGAATTATGTGCATTAACTTTTTTTTGGGCCATTGTCAACACAACATAGAACTAGGAAGAAACAACATGAGAAACAACTTTCATACAAATTTCCCCAATTTCAGGCGATTATTCAAAAGAACAGGGGCTTTTTCAATACCTGAATAATATTTAGAGATAAGACGGATAGTATCAAATTTTAAACTTTTTTCCTACTGGTTTGGATAATTTTAAAATGGAAAAGTTTAAGATAACATAATGAGTTCCTTTGTCAAATAATATCATGAAATTCAATTCCTCATAAAATATTAATTAATTCTAAATTTGTAATTGTACGGTAAAACAGAACCAAAGAGAAGGGGGGAAAAATAATTGTATTATTCCATGCTAACTTAAATAATTTTTATTTGGTATCATGTATTTAGAGAAATAAATATAACATTTAACTTGTCGTACAACAAAACATATTTGATAACAATCAAATTTCTACATCACAATCCCAACTACATTTAACCATTTGAAGCCTCCTCGCTCTGGCGCTTATTTGGGAACAGAACAGGAATTGAGCATCAAACATATATAGTTCTTGCTAGATCAGAGCCAGAGAGGCATGTGCCAGCGAAAATGTAACTTCAATAGCAGGTACTAAAAATTTGACAATCAAGGTTAAAATACAAGAGAGAGAGAGAGAGAGAGAGAGAGAGAGATTTGACAAGCAAGGGCATCGATTGCTGAATGTTCCTCTCCACAAAGACCATATTGCATAAAACATCACACAACCATAAACCAGAGGAAAGCTAAATGAATACAAAGTACATGAAAGAAGGTAATCGAAAAATTTGACATACCCTGACATTTTATTTCAGCCTCGGAGATGAAAAGTTGGTTTGTTTGCTGAAGCCAGAATGAAAATACAACTACAATTAAGTTTGAGAATATTTCTGGAAATAATCAATCTAAGCACAATATCCAGCATTTAAAGCCCTTAGTATTTAAAAAAATTAACTAATTTCCAATCTCTTAAATTTCAAATCGTTAGTACTCTGCAATTCTATCACACGCACGGCACATTAAACGATTGGCGCGTTCAAGAATTAAGAAGCACCCATGACCCAACCATATTAATTGAACAAGCACTCCTTGACCATCACAAATCCTCAAAAGTCCGTTTGGATATTAGAAAGGATATGAATGAAAGAGATTAAAAAAATCAAAACAAAAATAAACTACATTACCCTTGTCCCTTATGGTAAGCCTCCAAAAGCCTTGTAAATCATAACTACCAACCCGATGAACTATATTATCCTTTCCCTTTATGAATATGCTTTACCCATCTTCCTCCAGATTTTTATTTTATTTTATTTTATTTTTATGTTTTTTAATCCATTCCATTCGAGCAAACAAAGGGGATCCAAGTCCCTAACAGCTTCCTGCAACGATGCCAAATAACTGAAGAATCATGCTAACTGAGAAACGGTTCATTACACCTCACTCGCATCGTATCAAAGGAAAATTAAAAAAGGTGATGAACATGTATTCGATTAATTGGTAGTTTCAGCTTAACTGTCCTACACTGAATGGGCACAGTAATACAACTTAAATTCCCAATAATTTGGAAGCCAGTAAAATGGGAAAGGAGAAAAGGATAACATAAAAGCCGATAGTATGATAAACCAACACCTATGCACTGTTTACAGTGTGCCTCGACATGATCGTGAAGGTAAACCTCAGTAGTCAGTAATATGAGAAAGCCAGAGGAAGTGTTGGGATTACCTGAGCTGGATGGAGGCGAAAGATCTCCAAAGCGCTACAGATGATGGCTGGATTGCGAGGAATCACGAGGATACACAGAAAGGCCTCTTCCCAAATATCTTATCTTTGGGTAATGGCCCAATAAGTCTGGGCCCAGTTAGGGCAAAAAAGATTCCACGATTGACATAAAAATTTAGGCCATGCCTGCTACAAAACTTGAAGAGGTGGGACTAGGTCTAAGACCAGGTAATAACAACTTTTCAACCCCATTTAATAGGTGATATTGGAAGGTTGGGGCTGGGATTGTATTGAGTTGGCCCACTAATGCAATGCTTGGTACCATGAAATGGTTGTTACTTGGGATCATGGAATGAAAAACTAGACCAACGGTTCAACCAATAATTCAATAAGCTAATTAGTTGTCCGACCCAGTTCAAGGGATTAAATGTGGCAAAGTTGAACATGATTAACCTGATGAACTCGAGAATGACTCAACCAATTTGGGTGTGACCTCATTTGCATTTCAAACATGCATGAATATGATATCTATAGGATAACTTCCGTCTTGAAAGGGATTTTATGTTTTTTATATGATATTCATAATTTCTCTCGATTTGTAATCTAATACACAAATTTATAGATTCTATTAGGTTAGCCATATGTTGTGTATTATCAAATATTTTCATATAAGGTGGTAAAATTATATATTAAACAGTTACATATTCATGTGAACAAGAATTGAACAATTTTATCTTAAGCAGTTATAATTTTTATTTTGTAAATCGTAAAAAATTGAATAAAAAATTTTAATTTTTCACATAAACCCATTATTTTTTTTAAACAAGAGACAAGTTAGTTATTTAACCTAAAATTATTAATGTCAGAAAGGTATCTAAGAACTTCAAAAAAATTATAATATTTTAAAAGGTTGAATTATTATTTATATATTTTGGTAATATTTTATTATCATTTTTTTCTTTTGTTTTTTCTTTTTTGGGAAGTAAACAAAAAGATAAAAGGCTGAAGAAAGAATGGAAGAAAGCGGAGTGGACGTAATTGGCCTGTAAAGATTGCAATAGATTGGCTAGTCAATAGGTTAATTATGTTATCCAAAAGATTTCTACATGTGTCCATATGTTTGACATATGGCACAAATCTTTGTATTTTTTGCAATATAAGTCAACTAAAATTATATTTTTATGTTTCAATTTGTATCTTTATTTTTTTTGTCTAAAATAGTTTATATATAATAAAAAATATATAGTAATTTAATTACTATTGGTTCAACTCCTATTTGACTTTCAATTGAATCATTAACACTATCAATATCTTAACTGATCCGATTTTAAAAACTTTACATGTGATTGGTGAAACCTCAATGGTGAGATTGGAGAAACATATGGGAGGTGTAAGAATTTAATCCTATGATTGAAACTTTTCAGACTAAATACCCTCCCTTCTCATCAAGTCTCCGCATTGGGAATCTCAAGTCTCCACTCTAGTCACCTCCTCCCTCTTTGGTTGCCTTCTCCTCCCTTTCCGATCTGGAGCAGTGGGTGGCTGCTCATTGGAGAATTCATTTACCAGAGTGGAACAACAAAGAAAGGAAACTCAGGCACGGTGGCTGGGATGACCCACCAAGGATGACACACTAGTGAACACTTGACAAAAAGACTACGATAAGATGATGCTTGGAGTCTAGCCGTCTAGGACACATGACGAGATTCTAGAATAAAAAAAAACAAAAATTGTAAGCTGAAGGAAGAACATCGTTGTGCAAACAGTGGAAAAAAGAATGGCGGTGAAAATGGAATGGAAGTTGAAGGAAGAATATCGTTTCAGAGCTCCCTTCAATGCCTTCATCTTTGTCTTCATTACATCATAAATCTGATAGATAGAGACCTTTTTTAACCAACATTGCAGGTATGAAACATTTTTTAATAGCATCATGGATTTGAAATTAGTTAAAGGTGACTTTTTTTTTTTTGCTGAGGAGGCTGAATATGGTCAAAGCTTTTTTTTTAACAAGGACATCATATTCTTTTGTAATTATAATTATATATATTAAATAAAAATTATTTAAACATTCTCATTTTACACTAAACATAATTTTTAAAACTTATTTCCAGCCCTAGTCTCAATCATATTCCCTTAAAATCCATCTTTTATACCAAACAACAGAGGAAATGAAAAATCTAAACCTAATCTAGTGCCCTTTCACTCCATCCCCTCTCTCATCTTTACCTCTGTGAGTGTTTACCACTCTCCTCTCCCTTGAGCTCATTCCAAATATCATTGACCTTGGTTCTATTTTGACTTGTCATTGTCTTAAGCATTTCCTTCCTCTCTATCCCATGTTATCCTCGCTTCCATTGATACTGTCATTACCATCTGTAATGTCCGCCTTAACATTATCGGGACACATTCTAATACATTGTTGTGATAAACAAAATTAATTATAATCTTAAGTGCAAGATATCACAACCCAAGAGTTTAAAAGTAATTAGTTTAAAATATTAAAATTCCAAGAAAACCCTCTTTGAAAGTTGTTTGAGCTCAAACTATAATTTAAAATAAATCAAATAGGATAATAGAAGCATGAGAAGCAATTAGCCCTAAAATAATGTGAAGTAGTCTAGAATTTTCTCCAGAAACTAGTCAATCCGCCGTGGCGCAAGCCACATTTGCCACAATAGATGGCATAAAAGGACAAGTCCCCTAATGAGCATTATGCCACAATGCATCTGCTATATGTCATAGCGTGCACCTATTATCATGATAACAAATTGCTATTATGAAAGCATTGCAAACTTCTAAAGTATGTCATTTCATCATCCAGCGTCTAATTTGAATGGTTCAAGTGTCCATACGAAACTTTTTGAGCCCTCTAACTAATGGCATCGGTCTTATATCTAAATTCTCAACTGTTAAAAAGATAGACACCCAAACCTAAAATGGTTTGTTTTCACCTCAAAATACATTCCAATGGTGTCCAGTTTACACCACCAAATGCTATTAGTTTTGGAATCACTTTGACCAACTTAAGTGGACTACATACAACATTCATGGCAAATTATATCACACAAATAAGCATTTATACTCAAAATAACTACCAAATCCCTAATCCTCAATAGTAGAAAGGGGTGAATAAAATTCAACATTAATCTTATTTTAGTCATTCCAACACATAGTTAACACAATAAATAACTTGTACTAGTACCTTGGCCGTTCACACTTACTTAATCACAAGCATCACAATTTTAGGCTAAGATACACACACATTACACAGAGTTTCATACAAATGATAGTAAAATAATGTAATGATCTTAAGTTAGCAATACAACATAGCATATTCGTTACAAAGCCAAAATAAAAAAGGAAAGAGCTATACAAACAAAGCTCTTCACTTTTCGATTGTCCCTTCCTTCCCCTTACCCCTATTGAAGCCTTTACTTGTAAAATATAACCATGGAATGAGATAAACATCTCATTAACTAAATAATTCACTACTATTAATTAACATACACAATCAAAAGTGAGTAAAACTTATATACTTCAAAAATACTCTTTTAATATATTCAATATATCCTTTTCACAAACATAAGTCATTTATTACTAGTATAATCATTTTACTATTCAAGCCTTCGTATTACTCCAATTGAAACTATGGCCTCTTGAACCAAGTGCACATTCATAATGGCCCAAGCTCACCTTTAATGGTAGGATCATCTAGCCAAAGGTGTTTTATCCCACTTTCAAATTATGATTTCCCCCTATCACATAAGAATGGGGGCATCATTACTCCAACACTAATACTAAGGCACGTAATCTCCAATGCCATATCTCACTTGAATACTAAGGAGATAATTTACAATACCATGCCTCACTAGGCACTAAAGAGGTACATGCCATATGGACTTTCACTACTCCTTTTTGCGAGTGAACTCTCAACCCTTAACATGATCATGCTCACATATCTCATACGCAACTCGTATACATATCTAATTCTTACTACAATTATATAAAACTTTCACAAACTTTACCATTTCGAAGTCATTTCACATGCATAAAAATCATATTTCACAATATGCAATATTATCAAATCACAAATAGCAAATATACATGTCTACTCACAAACAGTTAAGCAATATAATCAATTAGAGTAAATTATTATATTACCTCAATCCTTTGTCAAACAAAAGGGTTACCATAGTTTAACATTAGCTCCACATATTCCACATGTGCGATAAGGCTTGAACAACACTTAATTTACATAATTAAGTGACAATTATCAATTATCACTTTAAATATTCCCGAATTCACTAAGTTTTAAGTACCCATAATTCTTAAATTCCTTATTTAACAACATCAACCCTTCTAAAACACTATAAGAATCCTATTTAGCATCCAAATGTATCAAAATCATCATCCAACTATCCACATTGTCTAAAAACTCTCAAATTATACCTAAGGTTCGTCCAAACTCTCAATAAAAATTTTAAATCCAAACCAAACCCACAAACCTAGGGTTAGAATCTTGATTTAACTCTCCAAGACCTTATCTAAGGCAATGAGTTCATCCATTACCCAACCACAATTGAAAACAAGCCCCTAGTTGCCCTAAAAGTAAAAAATTTCACTTCAAAAGGGAAGGAGAAGGAGTATGAAACTTATCTAATGATGATTCAAGCTTTAAATGCCTCCAAATCTCTTTTAATGTCAAGCCCTAGCAGCCATAAGCTCTTCCTTCGTTGCTCCCTTCAATTTCTCTTATCTCACTTCTAATTTCAGGTCTATTTTTATGAACTGAAAAGTATTGATTCTGCATGTACATCATGGCGCATAGCACAAAGAGCTCCTTTCACGATTTAAACCTCTCTTCATGCCATAGCTCGTTCGAACTCCAACCTAAC